GATGTGACTGTCTTGCAGAAAAAGGTACCAAGCCATGTGGCTAACACAGACAAGAATTATGGGCTAATATAAGCTATAAGAGTCAATAAGAAGCCTGAGCTAATAGGCTAATCAGTTTATAATTAATGTAGACCTCTCTGTGTTTATTTGGGACTAAACAGCTGTGTGGGACTGGGTGAGACAAAAACTTCAGACAACATACCACACCTTCAGAAAGACCTCATGTAAACGGAGGCTGTAATTTAGTTTCCTGTTTGTGCAGACCTGAATAATCACACAGAAACTATATTAATTACAATACTGCTTGGCTAATGGTTTAGGCATATTCCTAGCTAGTTTATAACATCTTAAACTAACCCATTTCTATTAAGCTATGTATCACCATGAGGCTGTGGCCTATTGGTAAGGTTCTGGTATCTTTCTCCTTCAGCAGCTACATAGCATCTCCCTGACTCTGCCTTCTTTCTCCCTATATTCAGTTTAGTATTCTGCTCTGACATAGGCCAAAGCAGCTTCTTTATTAACCAATGTTAATAAAGCATATTCATAGCATACAGACAGGATTCCCACATCATCTCTCCCTTTTTCTGTCTAAATAAAGAGGAAAAGTTTACTTTAACATAGTAAAATTACATATAACAAAACAATTATCAAGCAAGAATTAGTTGCAATAGTCTATTTATATAAGGCAAAAATTAAGGAAAATATTCTACCATCTATCTTGTCTTTGTGAGTCTAAAGTTTATTATAGCTAAGGAAAACTATAACTGTCTTCAAAGACCCCAAAAGGTTATATTACTTAAGTAAACAGGAAGTGCATTGTAAGCAACTTCCAAAGTTCTAGAAATGACAGAGAAATCTCGCTGCTTGGACAGTCACCCAAAGTTCTTTTGTAACATTGGGGCATCCATAGCCTACAGGTCCATAGTATCTGGAAAACTTTTCAGTGAAGCAGGAAATTGGAAGATCTGTTCTGCTTTGTAATGGCAAATTCTGTCAGTCACTTTCTTCTGTGTCCTGCAGAATGTCTGGCAGTTTCTTCTGTGGAACAGAACCCTGAAGGACTGTCTCACCTTCTTTTGACAAGTTCAGCAGTCATTTTTCTGTGGGTCCTGAATGTCCAGTTTATATAATATACTGTCAAGCAGTCCAGGTAAGAGTAGTTTCTTGCCTAAATAGCTAGCAAACTCCATAAGGAGCCTCTCTGATGCCCATCATCCTCTTGAAGTAGATTGGTGCTGCCAGAAGCAGACATGTCTCACTGTCGAGAAAAGCCTAAGTTCTTGAAACATTTTAAATGCCGTATTCTGTAGGTTTTTGAAGTGTTGAAGATTATCTAACTGAAATATATCTCTGCATATCTAGAAAACTTAACTGACATGACTACAAGTTTGACTATTATAAATGACTATTAATCTGTAATTTTTAATCATACATTACATTTTTAAGTGAGCTGTACACAATATCTTAAACAAGAACAGAAATACATATACACAGTGTAACAAAATCGACCTTAAATCTGTATCAATAGACTAAGATCCATACCAATGCAAAGTATTCATCTCTATATCATATCCTCCTTATTTCCATTAAACATTTATAACCAACCCTTTTTAAAATGAAAACAAACATTTATAAGCAATCATTTTGGGAATTTGGGCATTGTTTTCTCCAAACTGCTTTCTGCTGTTTGTTGGGCAAAATATTTTTAGGGTTCACAGAGACCTTTTTGGGGTCTTGTTCCATCAAACCACATTAACCTGGAAGGAATCCATAGGTTCTCACCTTCTGTGGAAACAAAAGTAAAACCTCTTTTCCAAAGCAACATATCCTTAGACTCAAAATTTGAAGCCAAGATAGCTTTAAAATATATGTTAGTTTAGTTTGGCAGCCTCCAGAATCAAATGCCTCTCTGCAGCCAGAAAATCCAAACTCTCTATGTACATTCCATCTTTGCGGGGCTTATCTTTTTTTACCTCTAATATTTTATTATCTTTACTCCTTTAATCTATGACTTTCTGTATTCTTTCCTCTCTCTCATAAGCCCTGTCTAGTACCGTGACCCATTCAGGTCTTTGTTTGTTTGAATCTGTCTTATTGCGTATCTGTAATCATTTTCTGACAGAGTGCTTCTTTTTTTTATGCATACAGCAGCAACAAAACTATACACCAACCTCTCCTGATAAACACAAAAGTAAAATTTATCAATAAAATTTTTGCAAAGTGAATTCAACAGCACATTAAGAAGACCATATACTAGAGGGAAAGAGAAAATACTAGGAGAAATGACTGGAATTGGGGGCATTTCAGGGGCAAGGTGAAAACATAATGCAATGGAGATTCCATGGAATCTAAAAGAGTAATGATAGCAAAGACTCCCAGTAATAGAGGACACAAAGCCTGAACCATCTTCTACAACCAGGCAAGGTCATGAGTGGAGGGACTGGGACACCAATCCAGCTACAAAACCTTTGACCTGCAGTTTGCCCTTCCTGCAGAGTGTTCTGAGACTGGAGCCTAGCAGTACTGTCCTCAGAGAGACTGCATCCAGCAACTGATGGGAGCACATGCAGAGTCCTGTGGAGGATGGGAGGAACCAGAGGAGTCAGGGACACTATAAGAACAAAGGCCAGGGGCTGGAGAGATGGCTCAGCGGTTAGGAGCACTGCCTGCTCTTCCAAAGGTCCTGAGTTCAATTAGCAACCACATGGTGGCTCACAACCATCTGTAATGAGGTCTGGTGCCCTCTTCTGGCCTGCAGGCATACACACAGACAGAATATTGTATAAATAAATACATAAATATTAAAAAAAAGAACAAAGTCCATAGAATCAACTGACTGGGACTCATGGGGGCTCACAGAAAACAGGAAGCCTATATGGGTATAACCTAGATACTCTACATATATGAGTTATGACTGAATAGCTTAAGTGGTTTTGTGGCTCTCCTAACAGTGGGTCGGGGGCTGTCTCTGACTCTTTTGCCTGTTTGTGGAACCACTTTCTTCCTACTGGGTCACCTCATCCAGCCTTGATATGATGTTATGTGCCTGGTAGTATTGTACATATTATTCCATGTCTGTTGATGTTCCTGGGAGGCCTGCTCTTTTCTAAGGGGAGACAGAGAAGGGGAATAGGCTGGGGGGAGGGGAGAGAGGAGAAACTGTGGTTGGGATATAATTTATATGAAAATAAATAGTGATAATAATAATAAAGATCATATACCATATGCAAGTTGGCTTCAAGGTTGGATCAACATGTATATCTTGGCAAGTTTAATACAACACACATAAATGGACTTAAGGGTAGAAATCACATGATCATCTCAATAAAGAAAAGGCATTTGAGAAAGTTCAATATCACAATAAAAGACCTAAAAAGGCTAGAAATAGGAACATATGTCAACATAATAAAGGTCATCTATACCCAACATTACAGATTGTTTACATTTTGAGGTCACTGTCCTTATTAGTTGCACATTTGTTTACAGATTATTTAATATTCTGACATGAAGTTTTAATCTTTAATTTATACATGTATAAAATATTATAGGTCAATAGTTGTTCATGCTTGTTGTACAGTCAGATCAATTAGGTTCTTTAGATACATAGAGATTGTATTCTGTCTAGATAGGTAATCTTCAACCACTTCAAGGATCTGTAGAACATGGCATTTAAATAACTTAGGGTTCTGTTGACATGACACATGACTGCTCCTGACAGTATCAATCTATTCCCAAGAGAATGTTGAGCACCAAAGACACTCCACTTGGAGTTTGTTTTCTTCTTGGCACCATTGGCCTTTGGGCAAGGAACTGCCCATACCTCAACCACTGACAAAGTACATGGCTTACAGATATGGATAAGCAGAACAAAAAAGAAAAAGACTGTCAAATTTTGCCAAGACAGTGTAAGACAGTTCTGAAAATTTTTCTGCCTCTGAAAATGGTCTGTCAGTTACACTAGGCCTTAGCCAAAGTTGGTTGCTTCAACATTGCAAAATGAGACTTTGGGTGATTGCTCAGGTAGCTAATTGTCTTCATCATATATCACTCACTTTGGAAGCTGCTTGATTGTGCTTCCTGCCTGCTCAAGCAATATTATCTCCCTTCTCAGGCCTTCGATGGGGTTAAAGATTAGTCGTAGTTACTGTACTCTTATAATCTAGCCAAGCCATTTCTAATACAAGACTTAAGACTCCTTAGGATAGGATGTTTATTAAAACATTTAGCATACATTCCTTGCTTAATATTATTTTTGCTCCTTGTAATTCTAATTATACTTGATATCCGTTCCTAGTGTATATAGTTTTGTATTGGGTTTGGAACTCTCTCGTTTAAACAAAAGGGGAAGTGCTATGGGAGCACATTCTGCCCCTTCAGCCAATAGCCTTTAAGATACCAGCCCACGTGTGTGTGTGTGTGTGTGTGGTTCTGATACTGTAAAAAGCAGCTGTAAAGCATGCGCCCACTCTCTTGCTTCCGGCTCCTGCTTCTGGCTGCTAGACTCTGTTCCTGTTTGTGCAGAGAACTGTTATCTAGGACAGTGATCTATAAGTTTTTCCCTTAAATAAATAGCCATTTTATTATTCATAATTCTGAGCTGGTGTGGGATTATTTTGTGACTTCCATCTTCATGACATGAAAGCAGAAGAGGAACAGCTGAGAAGAGGAAGGTGCCAAGCAAGAGGCAGGAGGGAAAAATGAGAACAAAGTTTAAAGACACATATGTATGAGAATGTCATAAGAAAACCTATTACTGTACATAAATTTAAAAACTGACATAAAAATTTGAAGAACCAAAGTAACTATGTAACTAGAAGTTATAGCTGTGAGAAACATTATCAATTTTAAATTAATTTTTCAGATAGTAAAAACATTTAACATGAAAAGGAAAATAGATCTAGGCAGTAAAATGCTTTTGTGTACCCTACATATTAGGAAAGAGTTGCCATACAGCAAGCAAATGCCACTCCATCAAGTGTGGACAGTTTTTTGCATACCTGTTTTTGGTCCAACAGGAGCAGATGGCTCTTTCTGAGCAGGCATTTTTTGGTATCCAGGACTCTCCATAGGATCATCTTTGAAGCATGCTTTATCAAAATAAAAAAGACAACTTTAGGAGTTTTGTTAATGTTGATAGTGATCAGACACTAGTGTCTAAAAAGCTGTGAATAAAAAGCTGTGAATAAACTGGTAAAATACTGGAATGGGCAAGATTTCTTTTTCCTTTTTTTTTTTTTTTTTTTTGGAGACAGGGTTTCTCTGTGTAGCCTTGGCTGTCCTGGAATTCACTCTGTAGACCAGGTTGGACTCAAACTCATTCCTGTCTCTGCCTCCTGAGTGCTGGGATTAAAGGCATGTGTTACCATTGCCTGGTTGGCAAGATTTCTTATAAGTCATAATAGGCAATCACAGTAATTCAAACATCAATGATAATAATTTAGAGGAAGATATGTTCTTTTTTTGTATTTAAAATTTCATTCTGGGTCTCTATTGAGAAGCCTACACTTTGAGTGGGCACTACTGTTTCCTTTAAAAATGTCTCTTTTACTCTCTATCTCTGTTTCTCTTCTGTTTTTAAAATTCTATTAAAATATTTCAAATAAATTTTAACTAAAAAACTTCTGCAAAGTCAACCAATAAAACAGACAATGGTATTAAAAATTGTCAAAAGAAGATGGTTAATGTAAGATCACATATTGTAGCATTCCACTACTATAAAAATGGACAGAATACTATCAAACAATTTTATTTAATTTTAAAATATTTTTATATTTAATTAATATTTAGTTGTTACAAAATGATATTCAGAACAGTTTAGCTCCAAACAGACTGAATTTCAGAACAAATATTTAAAAGGTGGTTTTTTTTTTTGAGACAGTGTTTCTCTGTAGCTTTGGTGCTTGTCCCAGAACTACCTCTTGTAGACCAGGCTGGCCTTGAACTCAGAGATCCACTTGCCTCTGCCTCCCGAGTGCTGGGATTAAAGGCATGCGCCACCACCGCCCAGCAAGGTGTTCTTAGTTTAAGAACAGGATAATGAAACTGCATCCACAAATTTCATGTACCATTTATTTGCATTATATGTATCAGGCTTAAATATGTAACATAAAAATGTCAAATACCCTAAGTAAATCAAATATTAAAGTTGCACCTCAGAAGTTTTCTTTTTTTCTTAGATTTAAAAATTTTGCTTTATGTGTGTTGATATTTTGCCTGCAGGTATTTATATGCAGTACATGGTAGGTGCCTGGTGCCTTGTGCCTAATGAGGTCAGAAAAAGGTGCTGGATCCTCTGGAACTGGAGTTAAAAATATTTGTAAGCCACAAGTGTACTAGGAACCAAATCCAGGTCTTCTTGTCCTCTGCAAGAGTAATAAGGTTTTAATTGTTAAGCCAACTCTCCAGGCCCAATTCTGTTTGTCTGTCTGTTTTTGCTTTGTTTGAGACAGCATCTCACGGTGCAGCTCTGCCTGGCCTGGGCTTACTATGTATACCAAGATAGCCTAAAATTTACAGAGATCTGACTACTTCTGCTTTCTGATTACTGGAATTAAAGGATTTTTGCCAACAGAGGCCTTTGGCCTTTAAAAAACAAACCAGGCATGGTGGCTCATGTCAGTAATCCCAGCACTCAAGTCACTGAGGTGGGAAGAGTGCTCACTGATGACTGTCTTGAATATCACCATAGAACCTTCATCCAGCGACAGATGGAGAGACAGAGACCCACATCGGAGCACTGGACTGAGCTCCCAAGATCCAGCTGAAGAGCGGAAGGAGGGAGAATATGAGTAAGTAAGTCAGGACTGGGAAGAGGTTGGTCCATCCACTGAGACAGTGTGCCTGAGCTAATGGGAGCTCACCAAATCCAGCTGGACTGGGACTGAATGAGCATGGGATCAAACTGGACTTTCTGAATGTGGCAGACAGTTGGGGCAGACTGAGAAGCCAATGATAAGGCACTGGGATTTGTCTCTACTGCATGTACTGGCTTTTTGGGATCCTATTCTATTTGGATGCACACCTTCCTAAGCCTGGATGTAAGGGGGGGGGAGGGCCTTGGACTTCCCACAGGGCAGGGTATCTTGCCCTCTCTCAGAACTGGAGGGGTAAGAGGGGAGGGTTTGGGGGGGTGGGAGGGAAGTGAGAGGAGGGGAGGAAGTGGAAATTTTGATTGGTATTATTTATAAAGTAATAAAAATAAAAAGAAGGCTAGCCTGGGCTATCTAGTGAATTTTAAGCCAGACTCCATTACAATGTGAGACCTCTCCAGCAGCCCCAAACCCAGTATAAATAAATAAAAGGCTAAAAAACAAAATTTTCCAGCTTTGGAATATGTAAAGGAAGGAGTATGGGATCAATAGATACAAACTCATGATGAGGATATGAGCTACACAGAGCAGTATGCTTCTACTGATCACATGAACAAAAGACAGCAATTCTTTTTAACTACTGATAACAGATCCTCCCATTTCTGTTTTTACTCACATTCTAGGTTTTCCTCAATAATTTCTTCAATTATCACATCAGGACTAGATCCCAGTTGAGGCAGCACAGCAACAGTCTTGGGAGACATCACTACAGCCACCTCTTTCTGTGGCTGCTTGCTTTTTCCTTCTAGATGCTTGTCAGGGGTCTCTGCTTGCAAAGGAGGTACAGGTGCTTCACCAGCCAGGACAGCTGCGCCTACCCTTTCCTTTTCTAGTGATGAGAATGTACCACAACCAAGTTCCTCTTTATTATTAGACTGCTTTTGAACATTCTGTCCAACTTCATTTTCTTGCGGGTAACATCTGTTTAAAAAATACACAGCAGGACTACTTTAATTTTGACCTTTAAGCTATTTCTTTCCCATAGCAGAAATCAGTGTGTAAACATCTTCACTGATGCAGAAATACACTAAACAATTCAAGGTAACCTTAAAGAGCTGCATAACCTTTCCACAATCTAATTTTAGAACATGGTCATTACACCTAAAGAAACCCTCTTACCCATTTCAAACTCCCAAAGAAACAGCCTAATCAAAGCCGCAAGCCACCTTTGGGACTGGCTGTTCTGTTTTATTGTTTTGTTTGAGGCAGGGTCTAAGTGGTACATGTTGGCTTGGGATTTGCCCGGTCTCTAATTCACATCCTTCTGCCTCAGACTACTAAACTCTGCGTGCCAGCACATTTGGCTTGCTTTAGGGTTTTAAAAAGTCAAGAAAATGAATGTATGATCAATAAAAAATTGAGGAAAACTTTAGTTATATCATAATAATCTGATACTAAAATATTATAGATTTCCCAAATAAGTCATTTTGACTTGGCTTAAGGGTTTCATTTAAATTATATTAAGATTATTTCTTAATTTGTCATCTTAAAATAGGTATAGAAAAGAATGTTGAGTATAAATCTTTTTTTTTTTTGATTTTAATGAGCTTTACATTTTTCTCTGCTCCCTTCCATGCCTCCCCCCTCCCCCTTTCACCCCTCCCACAAGGTTCGCAAGCTCCCAATTTACTCAGGAGATCTTGCCTTTTTCTACTTCCCATGTAAGTCTCTCTTAAGTGTCTTCATTGTTATCTAAGTTCTCTGGGATTGTAGTGTGAGTATAAATCTTAAGAATCTTCCACCAGGCTCATAGTTATATTCCCTGAATCCTCTGGGTATGGCATGTTTATTCTCTCTCTCTCTCTCTCTCTCTCTCTCTCTCTCTCTCTCTCTCTCTCGTGTACCACAGTCACGCGTGAAAGCTAGAGATTTATGTCTGGTATCTTCCTCAGTCTCTCTCCATCTTACTTATTTCCTGAGACAAGATTTTTCACAGAACCTGGATTCAGCAGTGCCCAGCTTTATACATGGGTGCGGAAATCTGAACTCGGGTTTTGCATGGTAAGCTACACAGCAGCACTTCACTGACTAAGTTATCTTCTCAGCCCTACTTCCTATTTTTCTGCCTTCTCTTCATATCCATACAATTTCAGGCTACCAAATTATAATCAGAAATTTTAAAATGCAAGAGAATGAGTCCATAAAAGTTACATTTTAGTTAGCTCATAATGGATTTTATTTCTTCACAAAATATTAGTGTGCCAACTTACGAATTAAAGAAAGGCAACTGAATTAATAACACATTTACCTGTCCCTTCCAACAGAAGGTATGCATTTGACACTAGGGAAAATCAATCTAAGTTGTACAAAGGGCTCTTCTGAAAGGTCTCTGTGTGTAAACAACCTTGTATTATAAAGACCTTTCCATAGTAATTCTCATCAGACCTTACTCAACTTAAGTTAACTAGCTCTAGTCTCATTAACCTTTCATTTTACAACACCACATTTTTCTTTAAGATTTATTTTCTGTGCATTGGTGTTTTGACTGTATCTGTGTGAAGGTGTCAGATCCGTTAGAAGTAGAGTAACAGACAGTTGTGAGCTGCCATGTGGGTGCTGGAAATTGAACCTGAGTCCTCTGGAAGAACAGCCAGTGTTCTTACCTGCTGAACTATCTCTCCAGGCTCCACATTTTTCTGTCTGCCTCATCCCTTCTCTCTCTATGCACCATCTAAGTCTTATTTATTTTTCAGGTCACTTTTCCATTGTTTTAGATTTAAATATTTTCCAGAGCACTACCCTTGACCTTTTCAGTACCTGCGTCATCAGGCTAAGCTGTCATTTAATAAATACGACACACAACGTATAGAATTTGCTTTTAGAAAAAAGTTTTAAATTTAACTCAGAGTATTCATTTAAAATCAACACAAGATTAACAAAGACTTTTATAAAGAGGCAGAATGGTTTTAACCTTAGAAATTTGATAGTAACTATATTCAAGTTCTAAAATTATCTAGAACACACTGCCTGAAAAGGTTGCTGACTACCCATGGAAGCCCTCAAAGCTAATCCAGGGCTGCCTGTGGGAAGACTGGTACCCAGCGTGCCCTTGTTCCTCTAGCAAGGCCTTTCTATGACAAGGAGGGTAAGAGGCTATCTCAGTCTGGTGCCATCTGTGCTGGTTTCCTTGCCTGGTGCTGTGATAAAACGCTCTGACCAAAAGCAACTTGAGGAGACAAGAATTTGTTTGGCCTTTACTTCCAGGTCATAGTCTGTTACTGAGGGATGTCAGGGCAACCCAAGCAGAGCTTGAAGCAAAAACCTGCTTGCTGTCCTGCTTACAGACTCATTCTTAACTATATTTTTCATACAAAAGGACCACTGAACTAGAAATGGTGAAACCTATTGGGCTGGGCCCTTCTACATCCATTATTAATCAAAGCAATTTCTTATAGTCATGCTCTCAAACCAGCCTGATGTAGGCAACTGAAGAGTCTCCTATCAGATGACTGCCACAAACTCACAATTAAGACTACCCAGGACATTGATTATTATTCCAAACAAAGTTACAAACAACCAAACTCCTGATAATTTGGTTCCTCACTGATATGGGATTCCCCTCTGTATGTGTGAATACCATTGGTTAATGAAGAAACTGTCTTAGGCCTGTGGTAGGGTAGAGCAGAGCTAGATGGGAAAAACTAAGCTGAATGCTGGAATTAAGGAGGTGGAGTCAAGAAGAAGCCATGGAGCTGCCGCTGGAGACTGATACTCTGGAACCTTGCTGGTAGGCCACGAGTCTCATGGTAAAATATAAAATAATGGAAATGGATTAAATTAAGATGTAAAAGCTAGCCAATAAGAAGTTAGAGCTAATAGGCCAAACAGTGATTTAATTAATACAGTTTCTGTGTGGCTATTTCGGGAGTCTGGGCAGCCGGGAAATGAACAAGCGGCCTCCTACTCTGGGTATTTGAATAAAAGACCAACATAAACAACCTAAACCTGGGATCAAGTCCAAGATCTTACCTTAAACTTTAATACATTTACTCAAGTGTCCCCTCCACCTTTCTCCTCAAATGGCCAGTAGACAGGGAACATATGCCTATACCCCTTTTCAATTTATTTTTATTCTTATATTCCTAAGTGTGTGTGTGTGTGTAAAACAGCTTTTCTTTATTTCCTTCTTTTGAGACAGATTATAGCACTATGTAGCTCTGGCTGGCCTGGAACTTGCTAGGTAGATCAAGCTGACCTTAGACTCACAAAATTTTGCTTGCCTCTGTAATTAAAGGTGTCCACACCTAGCCAGAGTTAACATGTAAAAATGTAATCTCTAGGGGGGCTGGGGAGGTGGTTCTGCAGTTAAGAGCACCTGCTACTCTTCCAAAGGATCTGCGTTCAGCTCCCAGCACCCACATCAGATAGCTCACAGTCATCTGTACTCCAGTTCCAGAAGATCAGATGCCCTCTTCTGGCCTCTACAGGTACCTGCACTCATATGCACACACAAAGAAGCACATATAAAAGAAAATCATAAGAAAAATGCAATCTAACTATTGTTTTCAAGTTTAAAAATCTTCTAAGTGGTTATCAACCAACAGAACTGCCAGTGATAGCAGTAATAAAATGAACTAACAATGCTTTAGCACTCGTGTTAAAACAGTCTTCATGCTGGTGGTACTGAGATGCTGCTCAAAAAAATTTCATGCTGGTAATACCAAGACTCCACTCCCTTGAATGGCATTGTATGTTAGAATATTTTTCACATTTGCTTTTTTATTAAGTATATATTTGTGCATGAATGCATGTACCATGGCATGTGTACATGTGTGTGTGGGTGTGTATGTGCCATAGTATGTGTGGAGGTTAGAGAAAACCTGCGGGAATCAGTTATCTCCTACCGTGTACATTCTGGGGAACTGAACTCAAGTCATCAAAGATTTGGTGGAAGCACCTTTACCTGTTAAGCCATCTTGCTAGACTGTGAGTTGTACCTTTTAAAATGGATGGAGACATCAGGTGTAGTGACAGATAGTGAGGGAAGCTGAGGCAGAGGGATAACTGCAAGCTCAAAGACAGCCTGGCCTACACAACAAGTTCAAGGCCAGTTTAAGATACATACAGAAATCTGTCTTTAAAAAAACAACAACAAAATAACGAAATGGAAAGAACTGTCGTGAACCCTTGGTTGTTCAGTCAAATGATGCTACATTTGTTTCTACTCTGTGCACTCCATTCTTTCCATCCTGTGAGGCCAACAATACTGAAGGTGTCAACTCTATCCACCCCTCCTTGGACTAAGGTTTAAATCTAGGGCCTTATGCATGCTAGTAAGTTGCCATCTCAGAAGCAGAGACCAGAATTCTCACCAGACAGTGAACTTGTCAGTGCCCTGACTGAATTTACCAGTCTCTAGACTGAGGAAACAAATTTCTATTTGGGCATTTCATTACAACAGCAAGATTATACTAAGACATGTGACAACTAAGCATTTGTGATCTGGCTTATAAAACCAAAGGAATGAATTTGTCATTTTATTTAGTCTCAATTAACTTGTGCTTAATTTAAGCAACACCTAGTTGGTAGCTATCATACTGAACAGTGAGTAAATAGAAAATAAACTTTAAATGCTGTCAGACTGCAGCACAGTCTTTAGGTTTAGCTTCTATATGCACACAGGGATACCCAGAACGGACCTGCAGCAGGCTTTCGAGTGTGGCATGCTAGTTTACTGCCGATGTGCTGCGCAGACACCTGCCTTCCACTTGTTCTTTTCTACTTGCCACTCATTTTTCAGTTGTGAAAATAAAATCTCTTTCCAAATTCTCTATTGTCCCAAGAAGAAATGATCCTTCCATTTTCTGCAACAGCTCTATTTACATCTACTATCACATCCATAATGCATTTTATGTTTTTCATTTCTATTTTATGCATTGTAATTTCTCTGTTTATCTCACTACCTTCTAGAATGTTGGGGTCTAGCACAAAAAAGCAGTACTCATGCTTGTTAACAGAATGAATTCAAAGAGCTTCAGTGCATAAACCACTAATACTAATCTCTTCTAGGCTTTTTAAAAAGCACTACAAACAGAAGCTAACTATAGAAATGCAGCTTTTTAGATAAATTTTAGTTCCTGAATTAAATTAACCATTCATTTGTCTCTTGGTCTTAGGCACTATCAGATACAAACATTTTGTCATTCTTAAAAACACTTACTCTGTTGAGTCCTCAAATTCAATCTTTCCCATACTGTTGAACATGCAGATAATCTCGCTGCAATTTATATTCAACCTAAAAAATGTAGTACATAAATTAATGTTTTTAGAAATTTACTACTTCTCTATACAACAGTTGCCAACATTATCTAACTTAAAAGAAAGCATTTAAGTAAATTTTCACAAATTACAATTATTTTAATTTGGTTGTTACTTTAGGAAAGATGTATGATCCAAAATTTCAAATTATAATCACTTGCTATTTAATAACTCTTGGTATGGGCTCCTAAATCAAGACTTACTCACCTTGGGGGATTCCTTGGAATTATAGAATTAACTTGTGACAATTCACTTTCAAATGTTAACTTCAATGTCCGGATAATCTGGAATCAAGAGAGATGTATACTTCATGTGTAAATTTTCTTTTATTAAAATATTGCTAAAAGAGGATTTTAGAGGGAAAAAGGCCTTTTAGGTATTCAATTGATAAATTCAAGGCTATTTTTTGAGCTCTCAAAGTAAAGGGTAGAAATCAATCTTTACAACAGTCTCTAATGGAGTTGAAAGTTGTTTAGAGACCTACATTAACAGACACCCCAACAAGTAATTAGAATGTAACCATCCGGACATAGAAAGTTCCAGTCAGATTCATTATGTACCAGTGGTATCGTCAAATGCTTCCTCTTCTTCTTTTCTTCTTCTTCTTCTTTTTTTTTTTTAAAGATTTTATTTATTTTATGTGTACGAGTGCTCTATCTGAATGTATGCCTTTATTCCAGAAGAGGGCACCAGATCTCATTATAGATGGCTATGAGCCACCATGTGGTTTCTGGGAATCGAACTCAGGACCTCTGGAAGAGCAGCCAGGGCTCTTAACCACTGAGCCATCTCTCCAGCCCCTAAATGTTTCCTCTTCTTGCCTCATCTTCCTAACTAAATTTGCCAGAGTAAAGACCATGTTTTATTACCATTTTCCCCCAAAATCTTGCATGTAAACATACTGCTTTTAGAATTACATTAGGGGAGAATCAGTAACAAGATACTGACAAATTCTCCACTGTTCATTTGAAGTAGAGATTATGGAGACAATAAATCAATAGATTCCAATTCTGTACTTCAGTATATTATTTGCATCTGGTTGTTTATGGGAAATAAGACTCTGAGGACACAAAGGTTACTAGAGAAGATTCCCTCCCTTAGAAAGTGAAGTCGAGTTAGCAAAGAGGATATTGTTAATCTTGTCCTGCCAATTTGTGCTATAAGAAAGACATTTCTATTTTGCACAACTTTTCTCTCTAGGCACAAGATTATAAGACAAAAGATGAATGAAGTAACTGTTTCCTGATTTGTACATTCTGAAGGTATAAGAAGACAGGAAGAATGGGATCTTGAGTTAGAAGTGGCCCTGCTCCTTGCTGCAGGCTGCATAGCTTGAGCTAGCCAAGGCAGTGTTGGAGAGCTCACCCAGGGAAGCGATGATGAGGAAAAGCTAGTAGGCCGACAAACCCTGATACCACCCAGGCCCAGAACCAGGGCTATGAGTTGGCCCACCCCAACATCCACCTCATCTGTGAACTCTTGGCACATGTTAAGGGGTAGAACCTACACATCCAAAACAGCAAGATCTCCATGACACAGGACAACAGGATGCCCAAGAGTAGCCCCAATGAGAACCTACTATTGATAGTATATCAGAAGTCAGATACCTTGAACCTGATCAATGACTCCCAGCAATAAATACAAGTAAAGATGAATGAACCAAAGAGTAAACTGTATGACTCAACGGGCCACACTACAGCTTCCATGATGTGATTTTCTTTCTTTCTTTTTTTTTCTTTTTGGTCTATTTGATTTGTTTGGTCTTTTTATTTTTCTTTTAAAAATTATTCTGTTTTGAAGGGGAGGTTACAAGGGCAGAGGATAGATGTGAGGGAATAGGAAGATAAGTGGAATAGGGATGCATGATGTGAAATCCACAAAGAATCAGTAAATGTTAAAAGAATAAAAAAAATGGATGTATGCGGATGCTGGTGGGACTGTAAGCTATAGACCTTTATAGGAGAGAAAGAAGCTTAGAGGACTTGTGGAAGGGCAACAAAAAACATGGGCCATGGAAGCGAGAAGGAGGTTGCTAGAAAGAGAGGGTCAAGAAAGGTTAGTGGAATGGGGGGGGGGGCGGACAAGACTCAATGAAACAAATGTTTGAAAATACTATATTCAAACCTGATGTTTTGTATGCTACTTAAAGTTAACTGATGGATAAATTAAAAAATATAAATCTTGTGCACACAGTATTGATAGAAAGTAAAAACTTTCAAGAATTAAAGATCAGTGGCTGGAGAGATGGCTCAGAGGTTAAGAGCACTGGCTGCTCTTCCAGAGGTCCTGAGTTCAATTCCCAGCAACCACATGGTGGCTCATAACCATCTGTGCTGAGATCTGGCACCCTCCTCTGGCATGTGGGCATACATCGAGGCAGAATGTTGTATACATAATAAATAAATCTTTAAAAAAAAAGAAAGATCATTGTAATGAAAGAAAGCATTTAAGCCCTCCTTGTCTGAAGGGTGGACCTGAGCTCGATCACATAGCCTATCCTTGGATCTAATCATAGAAGCTATAATGTCCATCAGTGTGATCNTATAGGGATTAATAAATAGTTTAAATAGATTTATTGAAGGGATTAATAAATAGTTTAAATAGATATTAAAAAATTAAGCCACAAGTTCAACTATAAATTCATGAGGAGAACAGTTTCATTTTGCTTATTGCTCTTATCTGTACTCACCTTTAATTAAAGTGTCTTAGAAAGTGTCTTGTATAGCCTGCATCCTAAGTGTTCTCTACAGAACCCTAGAGTGGTGCTACCAAAAGTGTGAGGACCTTTAAGAAGTAAGGACTAATATGAGGTTTTAGGTCACTGAAAAGGGACAGCTGTATCTCAACCTCTGCTCTCTTTTCCTTCCTGGCCAGAGAAATATGGTTTTGTTTTGCTATACTCTCCTACATGATGTGCACTAGAGACACAAAACAAAGGAGTCAATCAATCATGGGTGTAAATTCTCAAACTGTGAGCAAAAACAAACTTTTCCTTTTACAAGCTGATTATCTCAGATATTTATCATAGTGGTGAAAAATCTAAGTAACACAAACATCAGTTTTTACCTCATTGACATACTATCAGATTATGTGTTCTAAACATTAAAAATAATAAAAGGTTAAATGAGTGGAATAGTGTGTATCTTAGAATTCTAATGTTGCCAGGTGTGATGGTGTTTGCCTTTAATTCCAGCACTAAGGTGGCAGAGAGATCCCTCTGAGTTTGAGGACACTCTGGTTTACACAGCAAGTTCCAGGATTACATAGAAGAGCATGAGTCAAACAGAACAAAAAAGAACTCAAACACCTAAGAAGCATCAATTACCAAAAAAGACAGTCCTTAGTTTGAAATATATGTATATATGTATTACAACATTCCAAAAGCAGCATGCGCTAAGTTGAAAGCATAATCTGATTTTTGATCTTTTGCCTCTGTAGTCTGATCCTTTCTTAAATGCTGAACAGTGTCAGAGAGAGAATCACAGGGTCCAAAGAGTAGGCAATGGACCTTCTACAGTACACTGCTGCTAAGTCATGTTGCCTGTAGGTTATCTGTATTAAAAACATTTTTGGTTTATAATATTTTCAACTTGTAATAAGTTTATCAAACTGTAATCCCATCACAAGTCAAGGAGTACCTGCGGAGTTTAGTGTTGAGTTGATATACCAAGTCTATGGTCTAAAGTACGTAAAGTCAGCCACGACAAAACTAATTCACACTGAACATTAAAATTACCTGAGTCAGGTCACAGTAGGTCCTCAGTGAAGGTGCTGATTTGAGTTCTTTTGCTATCTTCATAGCTGCATCCAAATCATTTTTTTTCTCTTCAATGTAGCTTTTAACTGTTGCTAATTTTGATAAATAATCATCTGTACGCCTTTCAAGTTCTTGACACAAGCTCTTTTTCCTTCATTTAAAAGAAAGTTATTTTGTGATAATTTACTAACATTTATGTAAATGTAAATTTATGACTGAGTAGTAGCTCTAATTTTACCAAGTGATGAATTTAACTAAAATAACAGAATGATTTCACTGATGATGAATTTAAATAATATGGGTAAAAGAAGCATGTTCTAACCAAATAGCACCTGAAAAGATAAATTTATGAGTTGATAAACTTGACATACAATGTGGCTAAATGAGTCATTCAACTAAATTGAAATAAATTACAATTGAAATTCATGTGTGAGTAAAGAACAAAGGGGCTGGAGAGATGGTTCAGCAGTTAAGGGAACCTACTGCTCTTCTTACAGGGGACCTGTGTTTAGTTCCTGGTACCCAAGTCAGGCAGTTCACAACCACCTATCACTCCAGTTCCAGGGAATCTGATGCCCCATTCTAGCCTCTGCGATCACCATCATTCACATGCACATGTCCCCACACAGTAAAAAAATTAATTAAAATATAAAATTAAAAAATAAAATAATTGAGGCTGGAGTGATGAGTTAGTGGTTTAGATAATTAGTGCTGCTCTTATGAAGAACTGGGTTCAGTTCCCAACACCTACATGGTGGCTTAAAACTGACTCTTAACTCCAGTACCAAGGAATCTGATGCCCTCTCCTCAACTCCCACGGGGCACTAGGGGCACACGTGGTACACATACATACATGCAGGCAAGACACTCATACTTAACAATAAATAAACAGGTATAAAGAAATTAAAAAATAAAAAATTAATCTTAAAAAGCAAAAATATTTTAAAAGACAGTTATGTCATAGACATGAAGGAGACTTTAGAACATTCTGCCTAACCAGGAGAAATTCTGCCTGTATCTATCCTGTAGTCTTTTGTGCCCTTACAAAGACATATGTACTCACTTTTTGAAAGGTTTATTGCATATTTAAGACATTACCATAGGTTCATGTCACAATAAGACTTATAAACAGTGCCAAACCAGATGTTAGATACAAATGCACAAATCTTTTTCTCTTCTCTAGAAATTGCTTTATTATAGCAACTTAAAAAGGTTTGAACTGAAAAAGTCAAATATTTTTGTCATTAAATAAAACAATCTCTCATTATTTCTTGCAAATCAAATCTAGCCTCTAGCAAAGGAAGTTTGCTAATACTACAGAAAATGGGCTAGGTTTTAATATTAAACAGATACTCTCCAAACCATTTGGTAACATATAAATAATTTTTGAAAGTGGTTTCTTTAAAGGAAACATGCTTATTTTGTTAAATTATAGTAAGTTCCTAAAAGCTTACATACACAGAATGACATTCAAAAGGAGTAAGAAAGCCTCATTCTACCATGTAACATAGGAAAAAAAAAAACCAAACTGGCTACTATCATTTCATGAGAACTTTGGGAAATAGCATTTTTTAAAAAAGACATTTTATGGCTTTTTCTGGAAGCAGGAATACAGTTCCCAATTCCTCAACTCCAACCAGAAGGAGAACAACAGAACTGACTGATGACATTAGCTAAATCTGTTTTGTGCTGTCTGAAGGACTGATCTCTTGTCTTAGATCTAAGGCAGTGGAAAAGCATGGGAGATGCTCAGGGGCACTGCAGCAAGACACATATACAGGGGTAAGAGATTATAGGCAGATATACAATAGATAACTTGAGACCTAGGAGAAGCTGAGATTCTTTTGAAAATTAAGATATAAGAGTAGTTGTGTATACTGAGGAATTGACAAAGTCACACTTGGGCCACTCAAGAGTAGACCTACCTACTGTACCTATTGGTTTTGTAGGAGCCTAGGCAGTTTCGTGGATGCTCACCTTACTAGACCTGGATGGAGGTGGGTGGCCCTTGGACTTCCCACAGGGCAGGGAACCCTGACTGCTCTTTGGGCTGACGAGGGAGGGAGACTTGATTGGGGGAGGGGGAGGGAAAGGGGAGACGGCGGTGGGGAAGAGACAGAAATCTTTAATAAATAAATAAAAATTAAAAATAAAATAAAAAAAAGAGTAGACCTAAAGCCTTCATCTTACACTGATCCTAAAGTTTAGAATGTTCCAGCTATTCCATGAAAAGTGTTCCAGCAAGAATCAAGCTATAAAGACTGAAAAAAGTTGTTAGTTTTTCACGCCCAAGTTTCAACACAAACACTACAAGGAATATGGATATATAACAACTACAACATAATATGGCTCACTCAAAGGAAGAGAACAGAATGGTAGACTTTCTGAAGAAGCATAGGCAATTGACTTTGTAGACTGATTTGAAATAACTGTCTTAAATATGTTCAAAGAAACGAAGGAAAACCCCAAAAAGGAGAAGAAGTTAGAAGAGTGGCCTAAGAATAATAATTATAATATTAAGACAAAAAGAACATGAAAAGGAATCAAGGCTGCAGGTGCAGCTCACTGATAGCATGACTGCACAGCATTAGACCCTGGCTGGAGATCTGGGCATGGTGGAATACACCTGTAATCTCAGCATCTGAAGGCTGAGGCAAGAAAATTCTGAGTTTGAGGTTAGCATAGGCTACATGGTGGGTTTGAGGCCAGTTTGGATTATACAACAAGGCCTTGTTAAACAAACAAACAACAACAATAAAAGTAGAAGGCAATGGTGGAAGCAGAATCAAGAAAAAGCAAGGTTAGAAGAAAGGACAATTAAAATTGTTTCCAGAAACAATAACAACAACAACAGCAAAAAGAACGAAAAAAATTAAAAAAAGAGAGACTACAGAACCTGTTAAATATCAACAGGCAAACAGAAGGAGAAAGATCGAAGGAAATAGTAAACCCAGAAAACAAGAAAAAACAACTTCCAAAATTTAATGGGACAAAGATTTATGAACCAACTCCACATAAAATAAACACAAACAGTCAAACTTTTGAAAAGCAGAGAAACAATCATGAGACCAAGAAGAGAAATGTAACCTGTCATACACAACAGATTCCTCTAAGATCCCTGGTCAAACTCTCAGGAGAAACTGTCAAAGCCAGAAGGCAATGGAGGAATATACATAAAGTGTGGAAAGGAAAAAAAAATCTGTGAACAGAATTTCATATTTAGCAAAGCTGTCTTAGAAAAGAGGCAGAGGACTGGAGAGGGATGGCTCAGAGGTTAAGAGCATTGACTGTTCTTCCAGGAGAACCAGATTTGATTCCCAGCACTCACATTGAAGTTCACAACCATCTAGAACTCCAGTTCTAGGGAATATGATGCCCTCTTCTGGCCTCTATGGGCACTGCAGATACACGGTGCCCAGACATACTTGCAGTCTAAACATCCAGACACATAAACAATAAAGAAAAAAAAATCAGTTAAAAAAAGGGGGAAAGATGAGAGACAAACAGGAGAGGAGAAAGACAGAAGGAAATAGGAAAACCACAAAACAAAAACACAAGAAAAAAACATGGTTATCAATAAGAAAACAACAAACACTGTTCAGGATGTAGAGGGAACATGAACTTTTGCACACTGCTGATGAGAGTGTAACGAGTCCAGCTATTACGGAAATGAGTTAGGAAGTTTCTCAGCAAAGCAAAAATAAAACCACTGTACAATCCAGATACAACAGTCTTGGATATATGTTTGTGGTAGTTTGAATGAGAATGATCCCCACAGGCTAATATATTTGAATATTTGGTTCCCAACTGGTCGGCTGTTGGAAAAATTTAGGCATGACCTTGCTGGAGAAGGTGTGTCACTGGGGACCGGCTTTGAGATTTCAAAAGCCCAGGTTAGATCCTGGCTCTCTGTCTACAAATCAAAGAGTTCTCAGCCATTTCTCTAGAACCATGTCTGTCTGCCTGCCTGCTGCCAAGCTTCACACTATAACAATGGACTCACCCTCTGAAACTGTAAGCAAGTGCCCAACCAAATGCTCTCTCTTAGAAGTTGCTTTGGGCATGGTATCTCTTCACAGCAATAGAAAAGTGACTAAGACAAGACCTAAAGTAACTTAAGTGTGCTTGCTAGTTTTTTTTCTTTTGTTTTTGTAAACTTGACATAAACTATAGTCACGAGGAAAGAGGGAATCTCAGTTGAAGAACTGCCTTGACTGGCTTGTGGCTACATCTATGAGAGATTATCTTGACTAATGATTGATGTAGAAGGACCTAACTGACTGTGAGCACCATCATCCCTGGGCAGGTGGGCCTGGCTGTATAGGAAAGCTAGCTGAGCATGATCCAGAGAACAAGCCAGTAATAGAAAGCAAAGCAGGGCAGAATCAAAGTCAGAGGTCTAAGAACAACACTACAAAAGAAAGCACAGGGAGAGGAAACCAAAAGCATAAACTGTAACAAAAAAAAATAACAAATCAGTCGACTTCATAAAAATATTTGCATCTAGGTACATTCTTCAATGGCAGAACACTTACCTAGCATGCACAAAGCTGGGTCTAATCTGTAGCACCAAAGGGGATAAAACAACCATTTCATGCGCTGGGCATAAAATGCCATAAAAATTTAAGGAGATTAAGGGCTGGTGTAGAGACAAATGGACAAATAGCATTACTAAGCACACTGCTTTAGTCCTATCAAAAATTTTATGAGCATTTCTTGAAATGTATGTGATTAAACATAACATGTCAAATATCTTTGAAAAAATAATATTAAATTACTTTTTAGTAACTGCCTATCAGAAAGCCTTCTTTTCTGATGCAAATAATGAAAAATTGACATGACATGAGGAAATGACATGGTCATGTAGAAGAAAAGTTGTTTGTAGCTCCCCAAATATGTGAATTCTGTAACATGAGTTAGAAAATTTTTTTCTTTGTTAATTGCTTTAAGAAAGAAATGTGGTAGCTCAGACCTGTAATAGTACTTGGGAGACTGGGGGAAGAGGATCATGTACTTGAGCTCAGCCTAGGCTACAGAGCGGTACCCTAGCTTTAAACACACATGCACACACACATATGTGTGCAAATGAGGGGTGGGAAACCGAGGCATACTGAAAGAAGCTTGTTAACTCTAAAGTTAGCTTTAGAATTACAAAATAGACAGAATTTTGGAAGTATAGAAAAATTTTCACTTGAACTTCTGAAAGTCAGTCTTTTTGTTTCTTTGAGGCAGAATCTCACACTGTTGCCCAGCCTGTTTTCAAATGCACAGAAACCTACCTTCCTCAGCCTCCTGAATGAATGCTGTGATTAGAGGCATGAGTCACCACTCCCAGCTAGAAATGAGCCTTTAAGACTCACCTACTGCTGGGCAGTGGTGGCTCACACCTTTAATCCCAGTACTTGGGAGGCTGAGGCAGACAAATCTCTTTGTGAGTTCGAGGTCAGCCTGGTTTACAGAGCAAGTTCCAGGTCAGGCTCCAAAGCTACACAGAGAAATACTGTCAAAGAAAAAAAAAAGGCTCACATACAACCCTCTAAGCTTATTTTAAAGTTACATGTTACTGCTTCCGCCTATCTGAACAAATGAGCAGAATGACAAGTTAATATTAAGAACACTGGTTTCATCAAGTTTATATTTTTAAGTTATTACCTAGAGTTAAGAGAAGCAAGAAGTTTATCAAATTCTTTCTCCACAACCTCTGTTAGACTGTGTGTTTCCTCTCTTGTTTGATTTTGTGTGCCATCAAGCATCTGAAAAAAATAATTCAATAAACTCACCTGGTATTTTTACTTTGGAGTAGTTGTATCATCAATATATTGCTGAATGTAAAAGATACTTTTCAGACTTTTCAAAAATAGCCATGGAGGTGATAAGATAATAAACAGAGCAAACAATTAAATTCAACTTTATCTTCTGGTGCTTGTCAGCAAGATCACATCTTCTAAGCATTTTTGTACCAATAATTTGATAAAACAAAGAAAAAACCAAAAATACCTAAAAATCCGCTGATTTTATAAAACCTTTTTCTTATTCCTTTTTGTCATTACAGAACAAAAGTCATTTTCAACAACAGAATTTCTCTACAGCAGTATTTCCTAAATTACTGAAACACACAAACAAACAAACAAAAAAAATCCCTAAACCAAAGTTAGAAAACACACTTCAGCTCTTGGTGCAGACCTAGGGTCCCCCAGTTCTTCCACTCCTATCTCCAAACTTAAGTCTTACTGCAGGCAGAAGGTCCTCCTTCCACCTCACCTTCATTCCCCAGGGATTCTGCTTCTTGGTGTGGACCCAGGTTTCCCTAGTTTTTCCTGTTGCCTCTTCTCAGCTTTTCTTCCTACCCCAGCTCTATTCCTTTGTATCATCATCCATAGACCAATTCTTTACCAGGGACCTCACAGCTACCACACTGGCCTGGGATTCAGAATGGGCACCAGCAACCAAAGAATGAATATCTATCCTGCAAAGACAATTGCTGATATCGACATGAAGAAACACCTCAAACTGCAGAGTCCTAGATACCAGCACAAAACCACAATCATGAACAGTCAAGAGAATACGCCTCCTTCAGATACCATTAACCCACTGTACTAGGCCCTGAGAAATGAAATTTAAACATAAAACAAAGACTTCAAAACAGTAATTACAAATATGCTCAAGAACCTTAAAGAGGATAGAAGTAAATGCTTTAATGAAAATATAGACAATTAGCTGGGTGGTGCTGGCGCATGCCTTTAATCCTAGCCCTTGGGAGGCAAAGGCAGGTGGATCTCTATGAATCTGAAGCCAACCTGGTCTACAACAGCTAGTTCCAGGGCATGCACCAAAGCTACACAGAGAAACCCTGTCTCAAAAAACAAAATAAGTAAATAAAGTAAAAGAAAATATAGACAATTGAATGAAAGAATAAAACAATTCCAGCACAACTCTTAAATAAATTTAACTTCATATGAAAACACATACACACAAAAACTGGATAGCTAAAACAATTCTGAAGAATTGTTGGAGGTATCACCACCCTTGATTTCAAGTTGTATTACAGAGCTACTGAAATGAAAATACATGGTATTGGCAAAACAAACAAAACCAGACATACACATTGATTAACGGAACTGAAGAACCAGATACAAATCCACACATATATGAACACACCATTTTTGACAAAGTCAAAAATACACACCGGAGAAAAGACAGCAACAATTGTTGCTGGTCAAACTAGATGACTTCATGTATTAGAATGAAAATAGATTCCTGTTCTATTACTTTGCACAAAACTCAACTCTAAAGACTCTGTACTGGCTGGTCAGCTTGACAGCTGAAAAGGTGTACGGCAAATAACACATCATTTAGGCAAAGGGCAGCCTACAGAATGGGAAAAGATCTTTAACAATTACACATAATTAGTTTCTAAATATGTAAAGATCTAAAATACAACATCAAGAAAGCAACCCAATTAAAAACGGGGTACAAGACAACAGAGTCCTCAAAAGATGAAATACAAATTACCAAGAAACAAAGAGATGTTCAACATCCTTGGTCATCAGGGAAATGTAAATAAAAACTACTTTTAGATTTCATTTTACTTTAGTCACAATGGCCAAGATCAATAAAACAAATGACAGCTCAATCTAGCAAGAGCACTTCATTCTGGTGGGAATGCAAACCGGTACAGTCACTATGGAAATCAGTGTTTCCTCAAGAAGCTGGGAATGAATCTGCCTCAAGACTGAACTCTACTGTTCTTGGGCATACACCCAAAGGACTCTGCATTCTATTACAGAGATAATTACTTACCATTTTCACCGCTACTCTATTCACAACAGCCAGAAATTGGAAATAGCTTACAGGTCTCTCAGTGGATAAATGAATAATGCAACGGTGGCATATTTACACAATAGGTTATTCAGCTATTAAGCAAAAAATTAAATTATAAAATCTGTAGGTAAATGGATGGAAATAGAAGAAAAAAAACATCCTTAGTGAGGTAACTCAAACCCCAAAAGAAATATTTTAATGTTTTCTCTTATATGTGAATGCTTTAGCTTTTAAGTTTTTCAAAATGTATGCCAATTCAAGTAGCAACAGATGTTAGGTACCTGTAAGGTATTAGTGGGAAAGAGAGCATCTCACAAGGAAAGGGAAATAGGACAGAGTTATGGAAAGAAAATGGGAAAACTAGAATAGGAGGACTAAAAAGGGATTGGGATGGAAGAGAAGGGTAAAGGAGGGAATATGGGGAAGGACAACTAACAAGAAAGGCTGTTTTTAAAACTATATGAAAGCCTACTACTGCAGAAGCTTCTTAAAAATATGTATATGTATTAAAGAAATATAGAGTCACCAAAGAGGGAGAGACTAGACATCTTATGTCACCAACTAAAACCTTCATTGCCAGAAATGGGTTATAGTTTGTCATCACAGGGTAATGCCAAATTATATATTCACTCTCTACAACCTGACAGTATGGCCTTATTTGTTGAAGACAATGCTTACTTAACGTCATCAAACAATGAGAAGTTGAGCTGGTGCCTAACTAGAAACTTCACCCCAACTGACTAGCATTCATGGTACTGGAAGGTACTCTGTATGCTACTAGAGGAGAAAGGCAATCATCAGTATCACCAAGCTACAACTCCTTCAACCTACAACAATGACCTACCTGCAAGGCATACTGGATTTTTAGTAGCATGGATGTTACTTACAGGAGTAGCAATTGCTTTTGATTATATTTAAGACCCACTCCATGAAATGGAACCCATAGCCGTCACTGTTTCAGTGACCGAGAACCTTAGACTAAATAGGTCATGGGCCCTAGAGGAAAATCTACTATTCTTCTTCTGCTAAAGCAGTGGTTCTCAACCTGTGAGTCATTCAGATATTCTGCATATCAGATATTTAAATTACAATTCATAACAGTAGCAATATTAGTTAAGTAGCAGCAACAAAATAATTTATGGGTCCTCACGACACAGAAGGACTTATTAAAGGGTTGCAGCATTAGGAAGATTGAGAACCACTGTGCTAAAGGACCATAGTAATAAAATAACTAGAAATGGTATACTGATATACTCACAGATCAGTGCTTTACTCAGCCCTCATCAGAAAAGCTGAGGAGATGGGAACTAATATAGAGACCCACAACTGGACAGCATGCGGAGAGTGAGACACTTTGGAGCAGTCAGTCCTAAATGAAATGTCTTCAACCCCCTACTCCCATCCCCCACACACTCAGGTATATGTGGAAGAGGAGAAAGAAAGATTCTAACAGCCAGAGGTAATGGATGACTATAACGATGACCCAAGGAAACAAGATCTAGATGCAACAAAGACTGATGCAAATATGAACGCTGACATTGTGGAGGCACATACAAGATCCACACAGGATCAAGACAAACGCCCACACTAAGAAGGGGAAGTGGACAGTAAGCTATCTGCAATTGATATTCAGAAGCAAAGAGAAGATCCGTTTTCTCCAGTGGAATCTCACTGGGTATATCAACTACACTTCAGGGCAGGCCCCATGCCCAGGAGTAATTGGCCAACACAAAATAAACTCCATGGTAGATTTGTGAATTTGTTGTTTCATTTTGTTTTGGCTTTTTTTTTTTTGTCTTATTGGTCTTTGTTTGTTTTTCATGTTTGTGTTTTTGTGGGTTACTTTGGTGCTGTTTCTTCTTTTCTTTTTGAAAGAAAGAGTGAAAAGTTGGGTGGGTAGAGAGGAGAGGAGAATCTGGGAAGAATTGTGGGAAGGAAAATATCTGATCAAAATATATGAAAAAAATTTCAGTAAAAATGTATTTAGTAAAACACACTACATGCTACATTCTATTAAAAAAAACAAAACAAAAAACTTGAGTAAAAATGTTGGCTATTTTATGTTTATTTTAAAAACATTAAAAATTTTTGTTTGAGATCCATGGCCTCTATCCTGCTGTATTTTCTCTTTTGGTGTGGTCACGCCTACCTTACCAGTCTCAGGAAAGCACTTTGAAGCAGACCACTACTTTGCATTGTACAGGACCCCTGCTGGAAAGGAATTCAGGATGAATGGCTCACCTACTTCTGATGGCACAGGGCTGATACTGGAACTATGAGGTTTGGGGATGACAGGTTGGGGTAGATATACTGCATATTATTAAAAAAAAAAAAAAGGAATTGGATTTGGAGTAGAAGATGGATGGCTTGGGGCTGAACTGTGCCCATTCAAATTCAGATATTATGTCAACATAGGGGAGCTTGCAAGCACAAGCTTGTCATCACAGGTAACATTCTTTGCCCCTGCCTTTTCTCGAGGTCTATCTTTCTCATAACTCTCACGCCATTACTATTATTGTATTTCTAATTCATTTTGAGGAAGCTGACTTTTTAAACATGAAGTATTTAATTATATTTCTACTTAGCAGTAACAGTTTGAAAATGAAATTAAGGAAGCAATACCGTTTACAATAGCAACAAGCAGAATAAAATACACAGCATAAATTTAAACAAGAAAGTTCAATATGTGCTCAATGAAAACCAAAAAAAAAAATATTAAGGATTTAACAAATGAAGGAATACTCATTGAAAACTTTTTTTTAATAGTGAAATTTAATCAATCTACAATGTCTCCCTCTCTTATGTAAAAAGTTGTAACAACATAACCAGCTAAAACCACTGAAATCCTTAATTCTAAAACTTTTGGTAATGGGTGCTTAAGGGGCTAGTTTCTTGTTAGGCAGAGCAAGCAGCTCTGTTGGAGAACACAGCCAAACAAGGGGCAAATTCTGCAAAGATGAAAAAATCCAGTTTACAGAAAGGACATATCCTGATTCCTCATAATCTCTGATTTTATTAACCTTCTTAGAGTAACAATGTTACAAACCCAATCCTGGCAGGACAGTGTAGTTTTCAATTTTTCTGCATGTTTCTCTATTATTATATTATTGCTTTTAAAAACTGAGTATAAAACCTAACCTCAGTGATACACATACAAGTGTGCACTTTTACAGAGGTCATTTGGCTGGGGCTGTAGCTCAGGGGCAAAATGCTTGCTTCACATGCATTACAATCTAGCTTCATCCTCGGCACTGTCACACCCTCCTCCCTAAAAAGAGGAAATAAGTGGACTTATTAAGTGAAGGCACACAATCTCAGGAAGGAAAAAAACACGCACATGTTCTCGCTTATATGTAGAACATAGTGATATATGTGTATACACATGTGTAAGTGTGTACGGAATAACATGTAGAAAGAGAACAAGAAATGGTAAATATTAAGAGATGAAAAAGGATATAAGCTTTGGAAGAAGTTATGAAGCTAATGGTTATTTTAGTTCTAAACATGCCGTGGATTTCCGGTATATATTCAATAGTGAAGTATAAAATCTAACATGAGGTGTGGCAGCTTAACAGTTTCTGTACTAACCATGTAGAAGTTCAGGGAGATGTACAGACTTTAGATGTGGTGAATTTTGGTGTATGATGTTTTTTATTTGCAAACTTATTATAATAAAGTTTATTAAAAGTGTGTTTTTTTTCATAAAGAGGCCATGCTTTACCTCCTGGTAGAATTATTCAAAATGCTTACTTTGACAGCATTACTTAATTGTTCAAAATTACAGCCTGCTATCTTCAGTGCCTCATCGATCTCTTCTGTCTCCTAAGAGAAAGAACAATATACAAATATAAAACACAAAAATAGATGTCTAGCTACATTATAATTATAAAAATTTGAGCTGTAATTTTGGTTACAAATGCGACAAAGATCACCAAAGGAGTATAAAAACACGCAACAATAATAAAAATACAATCCCGCTTATCTAAAATTTGAAAAAAATAACAATTTTATTTCCACGCTATGAATAGAAACTCAGGACCTCAGGTATGCTAGGCACCATTCTACCACTGAGCTATATCCTCAGTCAGTAGAGGAACTCAAATATGTAGACCAGACTGTCATCAAACCTGCAGTAATCCTCCTGCTCCTGTCTTTATAGTGTTGAGGTTACAGTAATAGACCACCACACCTAGTGACCCGTGAGTCATCTGTTTCAGCCTCCCTAGCGCTGCTAGTACAAACATGTGCCGCAAGGCCACCATAAAGATACTACTTAACAGTAAAACTGCAGCATGAATCCAGTCTCCAATTTAAAATTATCTCAGAAAATGTATCATGAAAAATAAATAGAAACAGTTTTTAAGAAAAGATGATTATAAATATGGCTCTGTTAAGAGTTTAACTTGATAATCAGATTTGTAACACACATTTGTAATCAGAGCAGTTGGGAGGTACAGGCAGGAGGATCAAATCATCTTGAACTATGTAATGAGTAAGTTCAAGTCCAGTTTGGACAACATGAGGTTCTGTTTTTTGTTTTTAAATTAGAGTTAAAACAAAAGAGAATGAATACAATTTAGACTTCACTCCCCTTTTCAAGACCAGTAATGATTTTTACAAAAAGTCTCTACTTCATTTAGCTTCATTTTAGAGTCTGTTCTATTTCTAAGCTCAATTTCAGCAAATGTTCATCATTAACATTATTCAGAATCGTAAAGTAAAATTCAATCTTCAACAACAAACATCATTATCAATAACAAATGCAACTAGGCCTCTTAGCTGTCATTAAAATAATTGAAAAACTATAGTCAGAATTTAGAAAATTTTAACTGTACATGTTTCAGGGCATTTGGATTAAGTAACTAAGTTAACAGGAAAAAACTATAGTCATGTAAATATCAAGAATTTCAAAATCAAGGCAGTCAAAGCATGTCTCAGGAAAAGGACTTACAAACAGGTTTGTTATAAACACAGGCTAAAACTGTTCAAGCAGAAAGCAAAGCAAAAAATTCAAGTGAGGAGAGTGGATTTGTTACTTTTAGTCTTCTAAAAGAATCAATAATTGTAGGAACCCTGAGAGGAAATGTTCAGCTACTCAGCATAAAGTTTGGTTTCACAATGCTTCATGACCAATGTTTTTCATACCGACATTACAGCTGACATGCTTGAAACAGTCCTGTTTATGGAGGATGAATGTTCCAAATCAACAATTAGCTGGTCCATCGTCTTTTTAAGGTCTGAAGAACAGTTCTTTACCCTGAGAACGTCAAGCATGTTATTTGAAATACAAGCATGAATATAATCTCCATTGCATTCTCATTTTTATTCTCTATTAAAAATAATCCAGATGATAACTTATAAGAATATGTTCTCAATTATCAATAAGGAAAATCCATGAATAAAATTACTTTCACATAATTTAATTTTAATATAAATTTAACTTAAGCAAATTCCTAAAATACCACGTTTTAATTTCTTAGGCACCTTATTTACTTGGTATTTGGGGGAAGAAATACTAATAATGACTGAAATGTTTTAAGCTCATCAATTAAAGTAATGCATGCATACAAATAAGTACTTATATGCAGAAATGTCAGCTATTAAAAGTGCACTGATAAACAATGGGTAACAAGAGACCTTATTTCAGAAAACTTGAAACTCCACATAACACAATCCATAAATAAAACTGTCTAAACCAAATTGCATTTAAGAATGAAGAGCTATTAATATAAATTTATGTAGAGCGTTTAATTTAAAAACTGGTCATTTAGAACAAAGTTTGAACTTTTACTAGACATTACACATATACAGACAAGAGTACAATTTGATTAGCTTATATGAGATTTTAAGTCAGAAATTTTCAAAGTAAGTAAAGGTCTTTGAAGTAAAGCACTCAACACAGCAATGACTGGCTAGCATGGAGGAGGAACTGCCTCCGTTGGTGGGAGTGAGCCATCATCATCTACCACAATCTCTATTCTTTGTTTAAACTCAGTCAACACTGTTCAATAAATTATCTGTTTTATTTTTTCAGATGTCCAAATTGGCAACCCCAAATTTGATAAAAATGGCCACTCCATGGAGAAAAGATCTACGATCACCTAGTCACATGATTCCTGAAGTTGTGTTCTCATCATTTGCAGACCTCATGAAGAAAGTGACTGATGATTATGTTTGTAGGTGAGAGAAGTACTGTGACTGTCAACACCTAGATGTCAAACTTCAGGTGAGAGTTTTCCACCCAAAGATACAACTTAGCTTCTCCCTAACTTATTAAAACATGAAAAGAAAAACTACGGTGGTATTGTGAAAATCTAGTAATTCAAGTTCAAAGAATTTGAGATTTTAACTGGATAGACCAGGAAGAACTAGAGAGCAAGGAAAAGTATGGAAGTGAAATGAGATAGAGAGAAGAAAACAAGAGAATTAATAGGGTAGTAGCGATGGAAGACCGGAACAGACATAGAACAAACTGTCAAAGCAACAATATGTAGGAGGTAAATGAAAAACAATATGATAAATCTGGATAACTTCCTTGGTATTATTTATAAAATTAGTTCCAAATGAGATAGTTCCTTGAAAACTCCTATATTTTTAAGTCTAGACTGACTATTATATTAAATATTATTTTAAAAGTTAAAATCCAGCTGAGCAGTGGTGGCGCATGCCTTTAATCCCAGCACTCGGGAGGCAGAGGCAGGCAAATCTCTGTGAGTTCAAGGCTAGCCTGATTTACAGAGTAAGTTCTAGGACAGCCAAGGGATACACAGAAAAACCCTGTCTCAAAGAAACCAAAAAGAAAAGTTAAAATCTATGTAAATATGAGCAACTATGTAAATAAGGTCCTAGAAAGCTGGTGTACTGGCTAGTTTCATGACAACTGACATAGCTAGAGTCATCAGAGAGGAGGGAGCCTCAACTGAGAAAAATGTGTACATAAAATTGGTCTGTAGGGCAAATCTGTTGGGCATTAGTGATTGATGTAGAAAGTCCCAGCTCAGGAGTGGCCTTACCCACAATGGGACTAACATATGAGTTCAGAAAAACTACAGAAAATATAAAAATATGCTTTTTATCTAACAAACATTACATGTTTTCTCTGTGTATTGCTCTAGGGGTATGGAGAGAAATAAGATGGGTCTGTGCTCTTAAATAGGGTTATAGACTAGCAGGGGATTTTGAAAAGGTAAATAATTAAGGCCATAAAATAACAACATAATGGCTGTATAAATATGCTTAAAAATCTCTATAAGGATAAAGGGGTGAGTATGATAAAAATATATGCATGTATGAAAATATAATAAACTCCATATAATATATGGAACTAAAATATCTAATTCAAAGACAGTATTCACACACACAGCCTATGTTCTTCCACTCTTTTATGTGGCTAAATCACAAAGAAGAATGGAAAAATAAGGGAACTCAAAAGTTGCTATTTTTCTTTTTATAATCACCTCTCAACCACATTTTATCATCATACTGTATTTCTACCATTCTAAAGATCAACAGAAAAGTATTTCTTTCTTTATAACTTACTATCATTCAGCTGCGATAACTTTATCTAATTCTGGAACTCAGCCTCCTATTTGAAGGCTTTCTTCACTCTTTTATTTTAAATAAGGACAAACTAATGCTGCTTCTTTTGAAGCTGGACCCTACATTCCACTAACAGTCAGGACAAACTAATGAACTTAAATAGCATTCTATAAACAACAGGCTAGAAACGCATTTAACAATAACATTTTAACAATAATTTTAAAATTGTTTAGAAATACACCAAGTGTTAAATGCTAAAGTGTCCACATGAACATACATTTTAGGTTGCAATGCTTCCAGAGAAGAATCTTCTTTAATAAATCCATGACCTTGATTCATACTGACAGCTGTATGAACCTTAGGACAAAATGAGATTAAAGAAATTCACGTTATTCAATAAATTCTGCTAATACAAAACCCAAACTATTTTTTGTGTGCTATTCATAAATAAAACTGATAACTATAAAGATTCTGAAATTCTCTGTAAGTCAAGGGAAAACTGTACTTTTGGTTTTACATTAATTAATATGGGTAAAAAATTAGCACCCTAATGATTAAACAGAACATTAAATTTACCAAAATAACTTTTAGTTACAATTCTAAAGGAAATTATTGCAACAACACTGTAAAATTTGCTATTAAACTATACAATGAATGATATCTTTACTGTATTCAAAAGTGCAAAATACTATCTAGTATAAACTCTAAAAACATTACTGGCTATAAAACAAATATTGAATAAATGAATTATTCCCATTTTCTGGAGATAGACTTAAAATCCTAAAGTTATCCAAATATAAAAAGTAGTCAAGCGTGGTAGCACTGGCCTGTATCCCCAGCTACAGGGGGCTAAAACAGAGGGATCTCAAGTTCAAGAACAGCAATGGGTAACTTAGCAAGACTGTTTTTTAAAAATCCTAAAAAAAAAACATAAATCAAAATGAGCAAAATACCAGTAAGACAAAAATTGCCCAAACAAAGCAAAATGAAGCAATAAGTCTATAAAAATACCATTGAGACCTTTTGTCCAACTACTCCTAGGAATGGGACTCACCCTGGAGTGTGGTTAATATATCCAGTAAGACTTCATTGGAAGAAACTGATTTTTCCTTTGCCAGCAGGTATCAGCTACATAAAGCGTCTTGGTTAGGGGTGGGAGCCTGTGTTCTCTTTCCTCTGGCTTACATCTTTTTGCCCGGTCTGCATTATTCCCTGAACCTGGGAGATGTGTCATTTGTGGCCGGGCACTCAACAGTCATGTATTATCAGTGTTTTCTGACCACTGAAAAGAGAAGCTACTCTGACCAAAGCTGATAGCTGCATTAATCTATGGGCAAAACCACGGCTGTTTGGAAGGCACATCGTGTCTGTTTAGCAAATCAACAGCACAAGATTCCCTATTAAAGACTTCCTTCCCCAGTGATGGCTTTTTGACCAGATTTACAGTACCAGGTGTGACTTCCCTCTTGTGCAGCAGACATCAGATCTAATCAGAAAGACATCGACTACCCATAACAGACTGGCCACTATTAAACCAGTGGGTTCATCTTGCCTGGATGATGGATTGAACTCACGGTCTAAAGTTGAGTAAGACGACTGATGACAGTCAGCCATCGCAACTCCTGGCACGATGAGGGTTAGCCAACACAGAGGAAGCTTCTAGCCCAGTGCCAGCTTGATTTCTCTAGGCTCTCTGCTTAAAGCATTCGGTGTCTTCAGCAATAGTATTTTATCATTGAGTTCTGGTGGGCAACCAAAGGCAGCGGCAATTACCTGTATTGTTTAGAGGCTTCCGGGGTCTTCTTTGACCAACAACTCATAGAGAATTGACCAGTTATGAGTCTACAGTCGCCACACTAACACTGAATTTTTTTTTTAAAATAACCTTTGGGGGACAGTTTTATCCATTCACAAAGGGTACTTCTGTTAAAACACTTATTTGTGATTAGTTTATCAAGTATCAGATTTTCTTATGGTCTTCTCATATACCTTTAGTTTCCAATCCTTTCCTCCATTTCCCTGCTCCCCCTCCGCCATTAAATCTTCTTCTCATTCCCAATGTTTACCCTTCCACTTTTGAATCACATGTTCTACTTTCCTTTCTTAAAGAATCCCTCTCCCATGGGATCTTTCCTAGTTTTCCTGGGATCTACATGTACCCACTTATACAAAGCTGCACATATATGAAATTTAGAAACTAGCAGTGGCATTAGAGAACACATGGTGTTTGTCTTTCTGAACCTGAGTTATCTCACTTAATACTTTCCAGTTTTACCCATTTTCCTGCAAATGTCATAATTACATTTTTCCTTATGGTGTAATAAAATTTCACTATGTATACATATCACATTTTTATTATTCGTTTATCTGCTAATGAATACCTAGGCTTTTTCCATTTTTCTTGTTAGTATGAACAGAGCAACAATAAACATGCACATGCAAGCAACTCTAGGGTAGGATATAGAATCTTTTGGGGATATGCCTAGGGACAGAATACCTGGCTCATATTTTTAGTTTTCTGAGAAATTTTCACAGTGTTTCCCATAATGAAGCCTGGTTTCTCTGCATCCTATTAGATTTTGGTGTGTTGTATATTCACTTTTATTCAGTTCTAGAAATGGTTAGTGACTAACCCATCATTTAACAAACTTTTTATTTCTAGCTTTATTCTGTTGTGGTCAGACAGACTATAAGAGACTATTTCAGTTATCTTCTATTTGGTGAGACTTCGTGTCTCACTAAAATGTGTGTAAAATGTGTGATCTGTTCTATAGAAACTTCCATAGGATGCTTAGAAGAATGTCTAGTCTGTGGTGTTTTACATAATCTATTTGATCTATATATAATATCATTTAACTCTGATGTTTAGTTTTCAGTAGAATATATCTTGGTGAGAGTCACCCATTATTATTGTGTTAATAATAATTACATGTTAAAGTTAATTTGTAACTTTGTATCTAGTATTTATAAACTTTGGTGCACGTATACTTAGAATTCTTGCATTTTCATGATTGCTCTTTTAATCAGCAGGAATTTACTTTATCTGTTCTGACTAGTTTCATTTTGAAGTCTATTTTGTTATAAGTTAGAGATGCCTATTTGTTTCCTAGTTTCATTTGTTTGAAATACTTTTTTCAATAAACAGTTTATCTTCAGATGTGTATCTTGGAGGAAGAAAATAGACCTCGTTGTTTAATCAAATCTGCTAATATGTGTCATTTGATAGAGGAACGAGAGCATTAATGCATAGGGTTATTATTGAAAGGTATAAAATTGACCTAGGTCAGAGCAGGCCTGAGGCAGTGAACTCCACAAGAGCAGGACTGATCCAACAACCTGGGCTGGAGTGGGCTTGGGATAGTGAACTTCACAGGACCAGGAGCAGATCCAGACCAGGGACATTTACAGAAACAGATCTAAGCTGGCAAACTAGACCAGAGCAGTCCTGAGACAGCAAACACCAGGAGTGCTGAGAGACCTCCAGGAACACAGAGTGACCAACAGGGTAACTAGAACCATGGCACTGACTGTACTACAAGGAACAACCATCTGAGCCTCGGATCCACTGGCACCTAGAAGATTAATCACCAGAGTCACAGACAGCCCCAACCACACCAATTAGAGAATAAGATGAGTAGACAAGGTAAGAACACGTGCAACACCACAAAGAGCAACACGACACCAGTAAAATCTAGAGGCCCTACAACAGCAAGTCTTGAACAACCAAATATAGGTGAAGCAGAAGAAAATGACCTAAAAAATAACTTCAGTAGAATGTTGGAGACTTTTAAAGAGAAAATGAGAAATTCCCTCAAGGAAATGGAGGAAAAGACAAACAAAAAATTGGAAGACATCAGCAAATCCCTTAAAGAAAACCAAGAAAAAGCAATCAAACATATGAAAGACTTGAAAACTGAAATAGAGACAAACAATAAAGAAAACACAAGCTGAGGGAATTATAGAAACAGAAATCACGAGAAAATGATCAGGAACCACAAATGCAAACATAAACAGCAGAATACAAGAGATGGAAGAGAAAATCTCAAACGCTTTAGAAATAATAGAGGAAATAAACTTATCAGTCAAAGAAAACATTAAATCTAACAAAAGCTTAACACAAAATATCCAGGGAATATGGGACACCATGAAAAGACCAAACCTAAGAATAGGCATAGAAGGAGAAGTTCAACTCAAAAGCACAGAAAATTTAACAAGAAAACTTTCCAACCTAAAGAAAGATATGCCTATGAAGATACAAATAGTTTACTGAACACCAAACAGACTGGATCAGAAAAAAAGTCCCCTGGCCACATAATAATCAAAACACTAAACATACAGAAAAAAGAAAGACTCTTAAGAGCTGCAAAGGAAAAAGGCCAAGTAACATATAAAGGTAGATCTATCAGAATTATACCCGACTTCTCATTGGAGACCATGAAAGCTAGAAGTTGTGGTCAAGCATTATGCAGACATTAAGAGACCATGAATGCCAGCCCAGACTACTATACCCAGAAAAACTTTCAGTCACCATAAAAGGACAAAAAAAGATATTCCATGACAAAGCCAGATTTAATCAATACCTAGCCACAAATCCAGCCCTACACAAAATACTAGAAGGAAAACTCCAACCCAAGGAAGTTGGCTATATCAACAAAAACACAGACAATTGATGATCTCACAGCAGAAATCCCAAAGACGGGAACAACACACAAATTAACATCACCAACAATAAAAACTAAATTAACAGGAAATAGCAATCATTGGTCATTAATATCCCTTAATATAAATGGACTCAACTCACCTATAAAAAGACACAGGCTAACAGACTGGATACGAAACAGAATCCATCCTTCTGCTGCATACAAGAAACACATCTCAACCTCAAAGACAGACATTGCCTCACAGCAAAGGGTTAGAAAAAAAAATATCCAATCAAATGGACCTAAGAAAAAAGCTGCTACAGCTATCCTAATATCTAACAAAATAGACTTCAAAGTCAAATCAATCAAGAGACAAAGAAAGACATTTCTTATTAGTCACAGGAAAAATTCATCAAGAGGAAATCTCAATACTGAACATCTATGCCCCCCAATACAAGGGCACCCTCAAAGCTTAAATCATACATTAAACCCCACACACTAATAGTGGGAGATTTCAAAACTCCACTCTCACCAGTGGACAGGTCATTCAGACAAAAAATTAGCAGAGAAATAAGGAAACTAACAGATGTTATGACTCAAATGGACTTGACAGACCATCTATAGAATATTCTATCCAAACAGAAAAGAATATACCTTCACCTCAGCACCTCATGGAACCTTCTCAAAAACTGACCACATACTTGGTAACAAAACAAACCTCAACTGATACAAAAATAACTGGAATAACCCCAGGTATCTTATCAGATCACCATGGTTTAAAACTAGAATCGGGCCCCAAGTGCTTTTACTTGCAAAGCCACCTTTCTAGCCCCAAATATATGCTCTTTATAACACAAGTACTAAAACATATACGTATTTATGACTGAGATGTAGAAAGGTTTTTTTTTTTTTTTTTTGGTTTTTCGAGACAGGGTTTCTCTGTGGTTTTGGAGCCAGTTCTGGAACTAGCTCTTGTAGACCAGGCTGGCCTCGAACTCACAGAGATCTGCCTGCCTCTGCCTCCCAAGTGCTGGGATTAAAAGTGTGTGCCACCACCGCCTGGCTCTGGTTAAAAATTCTTGGAAGCTAGGAAGAAGTAGGAAACACTTCTGAACAACAAAATACAATAAGCATTAGAGGTAGAGAAGACCTCTAATAGTCTTCTATTTACACAAGACAGTGCTAACCCACTGTATAAAGTAGCCTTACAGTTAAGAGAAAAGATAACTTCAAAAGAGGATATGCAAAGGCTCTGTTAAGGACCCTCAAAGGAGAACAACTAGTAAGTCACATGTATGATACATGAAAAGTCACTTTTTTCAGGGTTCTCTCTCTCTCTCTCTCTCTCTCTCTCTCTCTCTCTCTCTCTCTCTCTCTCTCTCTCTCTCTCTCTCTCTGTTTTGTTGAGACAGGGTTTCTCTGTGTAGCTTTGGAGCCTGACCTGGAACTTGCTCTTGTAGACCAGGCTGGCCTCGAACTCACAGAGATCCGCCTGCCTCTGCTTCCAGAGCGCTGGAATTAAAGGCATGTGCCACCACCCCCGGCATTTATCAAGTAAAATTACAACTTAACAAGGTGGTACCTTTTCCCCCCATCAAACTGCCAAACATTAAAATGAACATGACAATTCAAAATGAATTTCAAAATTTGAATTTTGGAACTAGCAATTACAAGCTTGCTGACAGGTTGTTTTTTTTTTTTTTAAATGGGAATGGGTTTTAGAAATTATACAAACCTTGTATTAATTAAAATTACTTTATTACATATCCATTATTATGGACTTTCACAAGAATGGGTAAATGTTGTAAAGAGATAAGGCAGACTACAGGATTCTATTAATTGTCATTACTGTGAAAGGCAAGTATTTGGTATGGAAGAGTTGTTAAGTGAAGATTTTTTTTCCTCAAAATTTATTTTTTATCTTTTAAAAATTATTTGTATTTGTGTGACTGTGCATGTAAGAGGAGGTACTTGTGAAAGACAGGGGCATTGGATCCCCCAGGACTTGGGAGTTATAGATAACTGTTCTGCCCAACATGGGTGTTGGGAGCTGACCTCTGCAAGAACAGTATGTGCCAATAACCACTAAGTCATCCCTCTCCAGTCCTTCTTCCAACATTCTAAGTAAAATGTGCTGCCTATTATTATTCAGTTAGTTAGGTAAGAAAATGTTACTATTAACAAACCACACTATATTAAATGATATTTTAAAGCATATCCTCAAAACTGAGAGCTAAAAAAAAATCTTAATTTCTGGTTAATTGTGAAATTCTATCTCTACTTAATCTTCCTTAAGCTTATCATTTCCTAGTAAGAGGTTACTGTAACCAGAAACAGATGTGATAAAGGACATTTCTTTTAGAAAATATGAGAAAATATTAAATAAAATGATGCAAGATTTTAGTTAAAACTGTATAAAGAATCCTAACTTAAAATGCAGGTATTTAATAATATGTATTATTAAATAAATGCACATGTGCATATATATGTATATGATTGTTTTGCCTGCATGTATATCTACATACCATGTTCATATCTGGGATCTGTGGAGACCAGAAGGGGAAGTTAGATCCCCTGAAACTGGAGTTACAGATAGTTGTGAGCCACCATGTGAGTGCTAGGAATTGAACCTCAGTCTTCTGCAAGAACAGGTACTCTAAATGGCTGAGCCATCTCTCCAAGCCCTGCCACTCGTCTCTCTTAATTTTTATTTGTTACTTTTGTTGCTTATAAATGAAAAAGTGACCTTTATTAGTAGTGTACACTAAATATGCAAAGCACTGGTGTTCCTGGGACGTCTCATAGTGCACATTATGCACCTTGGTCATACTCACTCATGCACACCCCCAGCTCTTCCCAGCTTCCCCCTCTCTGGCCTCTTCCTTCTCCCAGATAGTCATTTATCTGCTTTTATGTCTTTTTTCTCCCCACTTGATTACAAACAAGTCAACTTTAACATGTTTCTTCTATGATTCTCATCCCAGTGATGTATATAAAAAGGCTTTACTGTCCAAGACAACAAATTACTTAATTACTTAAAATTTCTTAATTTACTTTTTTTTTGAGACAGGATTTCACTGTATAGCTCTGAATATCCTAAACTCACTATATACTTGCCTGACCTTAAACTCACAAGAGGCCTGCCTCTGCCTCCAGATTGCTGGATTAAAGACATGCATGGACCACCACAACCAACTGCATCTGAAATTTTTTATAGTGATATTTCTAATCATATGGCAGTTTAATAATATATACTAATTATCTCTTTATTTGGATGATGATTTACCTTTCCCTTGAACTAACCTATTTTGAAAGTAGTTTAAAGGTCAAGAAAATGGCAATATTTCTAGGGTGCTATTTATATGATCCTATCACAATACAGAATCTGTCATTTTGCTGTATAAAATTATATAGAGGTTATTATCAATAACTATTACCAATCAAAAGTGGGTATGGGTAATAGGAAAAAACCATACAACTAGGAAAAACAAATGTAAGCCAATATTGAACTAAATTCAGAAGAACAAAATGTCAATTATAAATGGAATAGTTTTTGGTTTAAATTTTAAGTAAATAGCATTTGATTTCCATGCAAATATAACTATAAATTATCTGTGAATACAAGTCTTCAAAAACCTCAATATTTAGAGCATAGATACCATTCCAAAGTGATAAACCACATTTCTTAAATTCAGATTGTTGACTAAATTTGGAGTAGATTTTTTTTTTATTCTCCCTATACATTATTCCAATAAGTCTTAGGTACCAACACAAAAGGAATGGCTGCCAGTTTCAGGAAGACTTCCCAGAGATCTAAATAGGGACAATCCAGCAAATCTCAAAATACTGAATATAAACCTTATTACTGTGTCTTAGGGATGGGGATACAGAGGAAAGGATGAGACAGTTCATATCCCTCCCAAAGTAACAATAAAACTAGTCCAAATGTTTCAACCCTAAAAATAAAGTCATTATTTGTAAATACATTCTAGATACTATGTTATTCGAAATCCTAAGAATAAGACACAGATTACTTGGGACAAGGGCAGAGATGGTCCCAGGTGCCTTCTCTTTTCCTTTCCCTTCATGTACATTTCCTCCATCACAAGACTGAATCTGTCAAAATCTACCACCATAATAATGGGAGATGAGGGACTCTGTCTTCATATAACCTCCACATCTGAAGAATTCCATGTCATGAAGATCAAAGTGTACAGGAATTTCCCACAATAAAGGGCACAGATTGTAATTCCAAAGCAGACAAGACAGCAGATATTCTTGTTATAATTAAAGCATTCACAAATTATAGCTTATATAGGTGGATTGTATATAACTTGGAAGCCAATGAACCTACAACTAAATATTAAAAGGTTATTTTAATGCCCTGGAAGTTTGCAGAGTATGTTTATAGCATTCAGTTGTGATTCTTAAAATCATGATATGAAAAAGCAGACATTATTCCCATCTCATGAGAGCAAAAGCTCAGAAGAGGCTGACAAAACAAGAGCTCTATTTTTATCTACTCCTCCATATTAAATACTGTCCTGCTGGGGAACAATGGCCATAAATCCAGTCCCTGTCTCCAGTGGAATGGTAAACTTACAGAATTTTACAGTCAGTTCTGTGGAATGTATTATAGAAACCAAACGGTGTTTGTATTTGTCCTAAATGCAAAACACCAATTTGTTCTCACTTTCGAGGGCTGAAAGATTTTAGCCCTAGGTTATACTTAGTATTTCTGGGGTAAATATTACCATCCAGCAGTTATTTTGCTTTTCTGTCTTTGTACAGCACCATGTCTCTACAAACGACCACTCAAAGATGAAGAGAAGCAGAGTTCCAAGTCTGTTTGCAAGGTTTTGGCATAGAAAATGGGGAAGTATTTTTGAAAGGAATATACTACACTGATATAAATAAAAAGAGGTAAGTTTTCCACCAGTGTCTCCCAAGAGTCAAAAATACATGGGCATTATCTATGACTTTAATTTACTTTCTTCATCACTTTGAAGAATGAAAAAATGATAAAAGTGTTTACTTTGCATTGTAATGTTTATGTCTTATGTACATGTGAACTCGTCTGTGCCTGAGAGTGCACATGTATGCATCACTGTATGTGTGTGAGGTCAGAGGAGAAACTCATCGGTCTCTGACATGGGTCTGGGGGATGTGAACTCAAGTCCTCAGGCTTGCTCTGCATGTACTTTGAAGATCCATCTTTCTGGCCCATGGACAATTTTATCTTCTGTTAATGCTTCTTTATGCAGAGACTAAACAGTCAAAATATAAGCTTGTAGTTTCTGATTTTGAAACATTTTAGTTGTCTAACATTTTTATCTATAACAAGAGGAATCATTAAATATGAAAGGTTATAAAACTTACCTCACAATCAGGGCATTTACTTGTGGTATATTCTTGAGTTACTAACAGGCACCGTTCACAAAAGGCATGTCCACACTGAAACTCATGGTGGTGACCTAGTGACGAAATTTCATCAATTAAACATTTTACAATTTGTTCATATCTAATGGGGGAATAGCTACCCATCAAAGGGTAAATTCAAAAAGTATTCTATCATACAGGAAAAGATACCTAGTTTAGTTAGATTGTTTGACTTATTAAAATAACATTTAGGAGAACTGACCAAAGTCAAAGGGGGAGGGGAGAAAATAAGCAAAATCATGCAGGGCTATATATTTGCACGAATCCAGTTTTGAACCTATACAACTATGAATTTTCCATCCTCTTACAATCATACAGAATGTTCTGACATTTTATTTGACCTCTGTAAATATGTCGAACTGGCTGCAAATATTATGTCTAATCAAAAGATGGGAAAACATATTGATAATTTGGCTAATTAAAAAGTTTAATCCAGACTCCAACCTTGTTTCCATGTCCAACTTCATTCTGTTTGCTAACACTACCCTTGGCTAATTTACATTTCCCATCTTATGAAAAGGTTAGGGAAGGCTGAAATGGAACACTGATAAGCATTCTCGCATAGTAATCTAAGATGTCAGCAAGGATGAAAACCAGGACAGAAGCCAGATGTTACTATTTTTATACACATGACCCACATTAAGATTATTTTTGTAAACCTAACGTTTATGAAAAGTACCATAACCTCGGTTGAAAATACAGTATCAAGATGTCAAGATGTAAATGTGGACCACTGAGATGGTTCAGTGGGCAAGGGTGCTGTCTGCTAAGCCTGATGGCCTGATCCCTAGAACCTACACAATCGGAGAATTCTTCTTCTGGCTTTCAAATACATGTATGAGTATACTACACACACACACACAAAGAGAATGATAATGTATTTGCTTTTTGGGGCGGGTTCTCCAACTGGTCTGGAGCATGTCAAATGGGCTATGTTAGCAAGCAACTAAGCCCCAGAGATCTGTTTCTGCTTCCCCAGATATTTTAAAACAAGCTTTCCCCCTCCCCCGTCAAGTAGCAGGCACACACAGGGTACATAAGACATACATGCAGGCAAAACACCCTTATACACAAAATAAAATTATTATTCTTAATAAAGGAAATTAAAGTTAGTAATGTTTTGATAGAACACATTTATGGAACTCTTGCTGAATTATAATATCACCAATTTGACTTTTTACTAAAGTATTTTGTTTCATTGAACTGAAAGTAGGCAACAAATTTTAAAGTCATATTTATATTTCAGAGATAATATTACCAAAGCAATAAAAATTCTCAATTGTTTTGATAAAATTTCTGATATTGTCCAAGTTGGCCTATAGTATACTTCAGCTTACAAAGCATAACTATTTTACCAGTTGAGCATTTCCAAATCTTGTAAGACAAATGCACAGACAAACCACTGGCTTTAAAAGGTTATACTTAAGAACCTTTTGTAATAATTTTCACCTTAAGATGGACATTTTCTAGGCTGGGCGGTGGTGCCGCACATGCCTTTTATCCCAGCACACGGGAAGCAGAGACAGGTGAATGTCTGTGAGTTCCAGGCCAGCCTGGTCTACCAAGTTAGTTCCAGGACAGTCTCTAAAGCTACAGAGAAACCCTGTCTAAAAAAAAAAAAAAAAAAAAAAAAAAAAAAAAAAAAAAAAANAAAAAAAAGGACATTTTCTAACAGAAGCATTGATCAAAACTCCAAATAGGGCCAGGCCCTAGTGGTACAAGTCTGTAACCCTAACTACTTAGGAGGCTAGAGCAAGGGCAGCTAGTTTGCCTAGCATGTACAAGGATCTGGGTTCCCTTCCTGGTACTGAAAAACAAATGCCTCCATAGAGATGATACTCCCCATGGAAAATGCTACTAGCTTTCTCTACAGGAGGTTCTGTCTCCTAAATGGTGTCCATTTTGAAAGAGCCCACTGAACTTTGCTTTTAAAGTAGAAACAGGAAAAGGAACAAAACTTTTTAGTCATTCCAGGTGTTTAGAGTCAACAACTCATTCCTGTTTAAGTTCTCTAAAGTACTCAAGTTACATTAAAATAACCTGAATTTAAATATTCGTTTTGTAGATTGTAAATGAGCTTACTAGAAGTATGGTGAACAAAGGCAAACACTCTGTACTGTCACCTCAGAAAACAAAATCCATATCACAAGATTCACAAAAGGATCTATAGTTTCCCAAGCAGTGCGTTAAGATAAACTGGGCCTCTTTATCTCATTTATTTATTTATTGATCAACTGCTTTTCAGTCTACTTGTTACTCCTACAAGAAAAACTACCCAGGAAAATCAAGTTTCATTCCTTCTTGACCACAGGATCACGCAACATTTGTTTTTGTTTTTTCAAGACAGGGTTTCTCTGTGTAGCCCTGGCTGGCTGTCCGGGAACTCACGCTGTAGACCAGGCTGGCCTCGAACTCAGAGATCTTCCCTCCTCTGCCTCCTGAGAGCTGGGATTAAAGGCATGCGCCACCACCACCTGGCCTGTTTTTTTCTTCTTTGTTTTGTTTTTGCTTTTTTGTAGCAAAAGGAGGAAAAAATTTGAGGAGGGTGACTCCAGTCAATAATACACTTCTCGGCCCTCTCTTTCATGAGTCTACCAACTGGCGGAAGTGTGGGGGAAAGTGCTCCGGAGACTTGGCAGTGGCCTGGGAAGGGTTAAGGGCGTCTCTGTCCTTCTGGGTGTGTGGAGAGAACCTTGAGGGGCACAACCGGGCACAAGCCATGGCCCCTCACTCCCTCTCGCGGCCTGACCTCGCAGGCCCAGTACAACTCCCACAGACGCCAGCCCGCTTACCCCACGGGGATACCCAGCAACCCCCAGGCTCCTCACCGGAGGCCACCAACACTTTTCTTCCACACCGAGTGCACTGGCACCCCGAAACACCCTGCGCACTCTTACTCCCCACTTTGTGGCAGGAAGACGCGCTGAGCCCGGTTGTCGAGGCCTCGGCCGCCATCGCTCCTCTCTCGGTGGGGAGCAGCAGCACGTGCGAGTCCCAGCTGCCCTTGCGGCAAGGACCAATCATAGGCGCTCGTGGCCAAGGTAGCCAATCAGGAGGCAGAGAGACTAGGTTCCCTCCCCAGGTTACTTCTGCGTGGAGCTGGGCTTTCGGTTTTATCCTGGCCGCCTGCGTTCCAAAAATAGGCCTTGAGTTTACTTACCCAGGCGTCACCGTGTTACACCCTTAGTCGATTCAAATTTGGGTTTTGCGTATTATTATTTACATCGTGGAGGACCTCGAGCATCAGGTCTTTGGAACAAAGGAGGCCCCTTCTCTGATCTGTGTCAGGGCAGCAAGCTTAGACCTTGATAGCAGCTGTAGCTGAGAAGTCAATTAGCAACCCTTGTGGGAGATCAGTTAATTCCAAACATTACTAACAGCTGCTGAGACTGGTCTGCAAGGCTTTGTCTTGGAAGACATCAGGGATGCCAGCTTGAGAGGCATGTATCTAGTAATAAAGTATTTTAAGATAAGTCAAAAACGGTTTACAGTAGTATAGAAAGTTTTCCTAGACATTCCAAGGTTTCCTCTAGACGCTAAACCCCCCACTAGTACTAATAAGAGTAAAACAGGAAGTACGCATTCCGGAGAGAACGAACACAAGGAGAGACTTTCGCTGGAAGATACAGTGGCTGAGAAATAATTAATTTATAGGTCATTCGGCGAGGGTATTAGTTCCCTTAATGTGGGACTTTTGGAGGGGAATTTTGTAGCATCCTGAATATTGGACTTCGTTCTTTAATCAGGAAAGCACCGGAGTGGTTTTGTGAAAAAAGAATGGAAGAATCAGGCAGAAGAGCGCCTGGAAGTGGCGGGACGGACTCAGCTGCGAAAACTAAAGCCTGTGTATTTAGCTTCTCTTTTCCTGTCTGTGTTGTGTACGTGATTGTATGTTACAAAAATAAAATATAAATTGTGTTCAGAGGCACACCCCTCGTAGAACAGCAACTGTCATTTTTGTGTTTTTTTGTAAAACAATTTTGTACCTTGAATTTTGTACATGTGCATTGAAACACTGTAAAACTGAACATGTAGTATACCTCAGAATCTAGATGTGTGCCATCTACTTGTAAATTATTATGAACATGATTGCTTTTTTAGAATGTCTTTTGAAAATAGTGACCAATATTTATGGGTATGAAAATAAACCAACTTTTACCAGTTGAGAACTTTATATAATAGACTGCTTAAAAAGTTTTAAGACTACTGCAAAATCCTGTTGCCTTGTTACCTTTGAGAATTATGAATGTTTAAATCTGTCCCCATTTACCCATCCAGTAGTTTTTATTGACTCATTCATAATGGAACTTAAGGTGCTCCCTAATACTAATCAAGCCAGTATTCTTATTATGATTATTCTTAGGGGGGTTGGGGTGGAAGGGGAGGTTTGGTCTCTCTCCCAGCATCTGAAACATTCAACCCTTTCTCTTTTTATCAAACTGGAGTCTTTGCAGTCTTTGTAGGCTGCTTTGAATCCTCATGCTGACTAGCACTTGAGCACATACAACAGTCTTTTCCTCTAGGTATCAGTATTAGTTTACTTTTGGATTTTGTGTCGGAGTCTGACTGTTTTCCAGGCTGCAAACTTCTGGACTCAGGTGATCTCTCATCTGAGCTTCCACAGCTGTTGGGTTTACACACATAAATGCCACTATTCTTCTTGTAGTATAATTTGAATAATAAGACTCTCATTGCATAGAGATTCATTTTGGCCAAAATTTCAATCTGTGATGTAGTACAGTATAGTGGCACTTCTGAATATCAGTGGTATTTCTGATTTATCAGGCATGGGGCAGAGAATTATGCCTTTGGCAATCTCAGAAATTGAATAATCTTGGATAAATCAGGACTAGTGAAGAATACAATGATATACATTTAGACCCTAATAGTAGGTACTTAACATTAAAAAGAATGCACAAATAAAACAGAGTTGTCTTAATAGTTAATCTACAATGGTTAGGTCTTTTGTTTGGAACCCTTTATTGCCAATGACTGTGATAAATTTTTATGACTTTGGTGTCTGCTTTTCTCTCTAGTCTCATTTCCCCAGACACACTGTTCTCAGTTTGATAGGTAATTGTAGTCAGGTCTTTGGGCCACCAGCTCACAAATAATTTTATAGAGACTTATTATTAATTATAAAACCTTGGCCTTAGCTTAGGCTTGTTCCTAACTAGTCCTTATGACTTAAATTAAGCCATATTTTAAAATCTACATTCTGTCACGTGGTGTTACCTCTCTTCCATCTTGCACCTTCTGTTTCCTCTCCACATCTGTCTGGTGACTCTGTCTTTCTTCTTCTCAGAGTTCTCTCTCTGTCCAGAAGTCCCACCTATACCTCCTGCCTAGCCATTGGCTGTTTAGCTTTTTATTACACCAATCACAACAATACATCTTCACACGGAGTACAAATATTCCACAACAGTAGATCAATTTCTTTCCAATCTCAGAAACTTCTGCCTGGAACTCTCTTCCCTCTGCTATTAAAATTGTTTCTATGTTTTACTCTTAAAAACAAGGAAGCAAAGAATAAAAGTGCAAATGCCCATGTACCTTCCAACCAGTTTAAAAGATAATTTAGTTTTAGGTTGTCGTTTTATTATATGTTAGACTATACTGACTGTTGGTTATGTTTTTAATTCTCCCTTGTGGTCTATACCTTCCACTTAGGTAAGTTTTCTTCTTCAAGGTCATCCTTAAGTGTATTTAAGTAAGAATTTTTTACTGGTGAATGGGGTCAGTTTTTATTTGCATGAAAAGGAATTTTTTTCTCATTTTCATGCTTTGATGGGCTGTTTTGTGATCCCCAGTTATTTTCTCAAATGACTTGACTTATTATTTCTGTTGTTATTGAGAAATTGTATGTTAAATTGTCATTCCTTAAAAGCAAGTTGTATTTCTTTGGCATTCTATATAGCCACAGTAATTATTTATTGGACCATTTGCGTCTGTGTAGTGATGCCCCAACTACTTGAGATTACAATTTTAATGATGAAATATTTATTTGGCTCATGATTTCAGAGACTTTGGTCCACAGCTCTTTGTGCCATAGATTCTGGACCCATGGTGAGGAAGAGCAGTGCCGTGCTGGCAGGATGTATGGAGGAGTTGTTAGCCTCATGGTAGACCAGAAGCCAAAAGAGTGGGTAGAGATTTCAACACACAGAACTTTCCAAGGCACAACCCCCAGTGACCTCTTTCTGTCAGCCACTTTCCACCTCTTAAAGTTTTCAAAACTTACCAAAACAGTGCAAGCAGCTTGGAACCAAGCTCACAATGCATACAAGCCTTTTGGGGGAAGCTTCACATTCGAATCATAAAATTTACCCTATTTGATTGTGGTTGTTGGATTTGAGTATTCTTGTCTTACAGGTCTTGAAAAGCCTGATTATTTTTGTTTGGAATTTCATTTTTCTTGACAACAAATTGGACTAATTTCTCTTTACTTCTTACAATGCCGCTCATAGTTTTTATTTTTAAACATCTTTGTGCTACCTTCTGGCTAATTTTTTTTAGATCCATAGATCCTAGTAAACTCACTATTCACCTGTATCTATTTTGATATTTATTATGACCAGTAAATATTACAATTTCCATGACTACACTTTATTTCCCTTAGCCTCCAAATTTGCACAATATTTTCGGGTAAAATTGTATCCCATTTCATATGTTTTTTAATTCTATTTTTATTTTTTAATAGTTTTTTTAAGATTTATTAATTTTTATGAACCTTTTGCACAGTGTGTATGCCTGGTGCCTGTGAAGGCCAGAGGAAGATATCTGACTCCCCTGGAACTAAGATACAGAGAGTTGTGAGCCACTATGTAGGTGCTGGGAACCGAACCCCAGTCCTCCGCAGGATTTGTATGTGCTCTTAACTATGGCTCCTTCTCTCAAGCCCTTCTTTAAATATTTTGAACATATCTTATATAGGTTTATAAACTGTTTTTGCTGATTCTCATGCATGATAACTTGCTTCTCCACCTTGTTTTTTATTTGATTACAATTTTTGGTTTGAAAGTACTTAGCTTGGAGTCTTGTGAGGCTTATGTTAAAAATATATTTCTCTAAGTTTTATTGCTTTTTTCCCTGGTGCCCCATGGTATCTTGTATTTAAGATCACTTGTTTGTTGTGTGGTAGCAGCTGTTACTATCTGAAGCTGGCCTAGCACTTGCTATAGTTCTCAGACTGATCCCTACTCATGCTTCCTGTACCTTCCAAGTACTGAAATCACAGGTGTATGCCACTAACCATTATGCTTTGTCTTTCTGTGTTTCTGAATCTCTAACTCAATCTATATCTCTCTCTCTCTCTCTCTCTCTCTCTCTCTCTCTCTCTCTCTCTCTCTCTCTCTCTCTCTACCTTGTCTTATCCTGGATTACCTGATTACTCAAAGATCATGATTTCAAATTCCAAATCCACCCGGAGACAAGTAAATATTCTAGATTACCAGAGGAGTGTTTGTCTGAACTAAAGGTCACACAAGATTGACAAATTTCTTTGCCTTTCAGTCTACCTACTTACTCCCACTGTAGTAGATCCTGCCATGAAAATGCTTGAGCCAGCAGCCACTTAATTTTTATGTTATTTTTTTTAATAAAAAGAATTTAGTGAGTATACTATAAGGTTGCTAAGTGGAATTTGCTCTCATTTCTCTAGTGATTGGTTTAGTGGAGCGGTACCTTCTCAAGGTTATTATTCATTTTGGCTCCTGTAGTCTCATCTCTTGGTCCTTTTTGCTCTTATAAATATGGGGCAATTTTTCTTTATTCTAGATTCCATCACTGATATACTCTTCTGGTCTGTGACTTTTCAAAATTTTTGTTTATATCTTTTGTTTAGAGACACTTTAGTTTTCTGTGGTATTTTTAATAAATTTCTGATTTGCTTTAAAAAATTCTCTCATGATAAACACTCACCTTATTATCTTCCATAATTCATTCCACATCCCATGACATATTTATTGCACAAGTATCTTGCATGAGTTCCATTACCTTCACTTTAAAATACAATTTGATTTCTCGTGTTTTCTTAGATGAGCAGGGGGGTGCCAGGTATCAAAACCACTGAATGTCAGTTGGTCATGGTGGTTCACACCTTTGATCCCAGCACCTAGGAAGCCGTGGCA